TAACTTAACCATTTCTCTCTGAAAATACTGCTTTTGCGTTTAACTTATCTCCATTCATTACAACGCAATAAATAAACAGCTAAAGGTCGTTGTACTAATACGAGTTGCATAATGTCATCTGTCAGTCATTCAGCCACCTTTTTTTTTCTTTTTTTTTCTTCTTTGACAATTTTTTCAGCCATCTTTGTTTAATTAAAATAAAAAAAAAATCAAGCATCATTTGACATGACGTTCTTATTTTAATTTTTTTTTTTAGTTTATCGCAGTTTCGGCGGAAGCCAAACGAGGTTAACCACCCAAAAGGATGTAATTTCCTACCAACCTATTTGATAAGATTAATCGTAATCTTGATGGTTAGATTTTATCATCAGGAAAAATTAGCACCTGCCTACGGTTAGATTTTCGTTCATTCATATTGTTTTACCTAAAATGAAAACCTACATAAATGGCAATGGTAATAAAGTACACGGATAAGGCTGTAACCATTAGCCAGAACACGCTACACTAATTGCATATTTTATTATAGGTCTGTTTATTTATAGAGAAGTAGGTTTTGTGGGCAATAAAAAACATGATATTGTCACCTTTACCTGGCTAAATCATAAAACTTGAATAAACAGAATAAAGCTGTCATGTTCTAGATTACATTACCACGAGGTAGGTACTGACAAAATAATGGTGACAGTGTTAACACAACGGTTATTATTACATTTGCAGTACCTACTACTTAAATAGTTGATTTTCGATTATAGGATTCGAAGAAGTAATTAGTTATCATTTTTAAACATAATTTACATACACGAAATTAACATTTAGATAAAGAACATAATTTCGAACAACATTCTTTAATGGCTTTGGTTAAGTACTGGCTGTAAAGAAATGTCACAATATTTTACGCTATGGAACAAAAAGAGCGGTTTCAATGACGTCACATCCGCATGCATTCTCGGTCAAGTTAATTGTCAATGGTGATCGGGGGTTATTACACGAGGAACAATGCGTTACTAAATGGTAACATTACTGTAGATATCATAGCATTCTTCGAAGCCATTATACTTGTACATTTCACCGCACTTTGAATGATAACTAAGTAAGTTTTCTTTTAATTAGCCACCATGGCGGATAGTAATCGTGAAGGACAAATCCGTACGTTTGTGTTAGCGTATTTGTTATGGTTTTTTAGAGAGAGTATCAGACTCTTACTGACTAAAAACCACCCCATTCCTGCTTCTACTTCGAGCCGGAGCCCCGGTAGCTCACAAGGTTGTCCGATTATTTGTTATGCCTGGCGTCGTAGCTCCCAAATGTATGAACAGATTTTAATCTAGTAATGTTTGTTCGAAAGCAAAATATGTCTAAGGCATGGCCAGTTTAACACGTTAACCGCCGCGTAGGTCACCGGTGACCTCCGTTAGCGGAGGATTTGCCTTCAGCAGTTTTCTGTCGGCAGTCAAAGGCTTAAAGGCGTCTAAACTGTAGTTGATAACTAAACTCCTATTTATTATTATTACCGTATGTAGTTGAATAGATTAATGGATGGACGTTTATTTACACTCCCAACCACAAAACGGATCGAGTTAAAGCTATGTCGACCATGACCTGGAATAACGCTTACAAAAATATGATCTCAAATAACAGAATAGAATTAAGTTAAATCGCGGGTTACTCACGTGAATATACTGAGAAAAGCTCTACTAGTTTCGAACCACAGAGGGGTTCTTCCTCATGAGCAGCGTGCGCGGTCGCGGCAACGTCGCGCAGCTCACTCAGTATATTCACGTGAATGACCCGCGATTTTACTTAATTTAGTATGTCTCACAGTAGTTATTATAAAAAAGAATAGAACATTTTACTGAAAAGTTCCCCAAAGTTATCGATGCTGAATAAACTTGTAAAACCTCCAACTGTAATAATACTAGCTTCTGCCAGCGGCTTCGTTTGTTTCCGTAAGGTAAAAAGTAACCTATGTGGTTTTCCAGATCATAATCTACCCCTGTGCTAAATTTCATCTCGGTCTCTTCAGCGGTTTCAACGTGAAGGAGTAAAACAAACAGGCATACAAACATTCATATTTGTAATATTACTACGATTTTTTTAAGGGGGGAAAATCATCGAATGACTGCTCCCGCCTGGGTGAGGCGGGAGGAAGTGTCAGACTCTTACTGACTAAAAACCACCCCGTTCCTTCTCCTGCACGCCGAGCCGGAGCCCCGGTTACCCGTTAGGTTCTCCGCGACAATATTACTAGGATAGTAGGATTATCCACTCTTATAATATAAACTTCTCCTCTAACTATTCGCATCTTGCGCTCACAAGTCTCTCCCTCAATCAAATATCATTTTCCTCTTACACAAGATATGAATTCGTCAGATACACAAAAAAGCAGTTGATAAGAGCCATACAGTTCCATGGACACAGGTTCTTGGCCCGCTGGTCAACGTTCGACTAGTGAGCAGAACGGGTCGGCCTTGCCGTTCCGGTGCCCGAGTAGAACAACCACGATTGTCTGTGATGACGATGGATAAGTCTTTGTATCTGTGAAGGATTCGTGATGCTGTAATAATAATACTTATACTTATGCATTTAAGAGTTATTTTTAAGGGAATACGAGGCTGTTTTGGGTCCAAGAACTTTTTGTTGCAGATAATAATTGTTTCATAAAAATAAATCAATGACAATATTATGTAACTTAGCTTGACTTACGTCTTTTGTTTTTAGGGTAAACCTAGATACGAATAAAATAGGAACCAGTTTTCACCGGTTTTCTTCTATAGACCTAGTGACTAAGTGGCCTTAAGGTGCCAGCGCAAGGCCCTGTCTCGCACATACCGAACTGATCCCATTTCACCCCAAACTTAGGACATGAACATTTACCCATTAGTATTTCTAAACTAACAGTATAATCAGTATATCTCTTGCTTTTAGCGTGTAAAATAAAGATTTTTATTTCATGCTTCTTCTTGTAAAAAAAACTCCTTTTATCTCATATTTCACACGTTTTGAAGAAGTAAGAGAAGCAGACATTTCTCTAGAACCTTCCAGTCGATATATTTGGAAACCCACCAACGGATAACTTATTAAGTATCGTCATTAATGAACCGTATGCCGAAAGCATAGTCACTATAGTACGTGATTGTTTTTTTAATTAATCGTATTGAATCGTTTACCTTGTAGACAGTTGAACGATCGACGAATTAAAATTAGATTTGTAGAATGAAATGCTTGTTTAACACAAATAAGAGTAAATAATTTACATAGTGTGCTCGGTCAGAAGCAAGACTGATTCATTTGAATGAATGCAAGCGTTGTCGTAAGGTCATGAGATTTTCTGATCGGCCAGTGGTATTTTAGACATGTATACATCAAGCATGCCTAAACTGTCAGATCTTGATATCACAATTTCAACTTTATTACAAAGCATCAGGATTAAAAATAGAGTAGCGTAACCTGCAATAATGCATTTGAATGTATTCTGTTCTTTACTTTCCTACCTAGAAAATATAGGAAGCTCGTTTCATATTCTTATAAGTAAAATGCAATTACAAATATGGAATTCGTTCCAAAGCGCTGGCAGTTAGCCAGTACTGCTACGTTTTTAAACATGAAGAGAAACAAAGTAAGATTGTTTGCTTAAAGCAGCTATTTTTAGTACTGCACCAAGGTTTAATTGTATTGCTTTGTTAGTGAAAGTGAATTGAGTATTTTATTGTTCGTAGTTAATTATTCTGATGCACTTCATCCTATAAGTGGCTGACCAAAGGCCTATCACATGGAGTAGGTTTAAACCATTAATCACCACGCTTGCTCAATGCGACTGGTGCACTTACCCACTATTTAAATCTCCTTCATTAATCGTGGTTATGTGACTGGCAGACAGTGTATGTACAACCGAAACTATAAGTCATAAAAACCAGAGCATTCGAAAGCTCGGCTTCAAAGCCTCGAACACAGGTGTAAAGTTGCAAGCCTTTCGGTTTTCTACCGGATACATTTCGGTGAGTGTGCGGGGGAATTGCACAACTTGATTCCCCCTAGTCCTTTCCATCATCGTACCACAAGACAATCGGCGAAGCGTCACAGATTCATGGTAGATGTTCCGCCCACACGCACGAAGCGCTTCGCTTTAAGCTTCCTTGTGCGTACTGCTAAAGAGTGGAATTCTTTGCCAGAGTCTGTATTTCCTGAAGGGTATAACCTGGGAGTCTTCAAGGCCCGAGTGAATAGGTTGCTTATGGGACGACGTGCTCCATCGTAGACCGCATCATCGCTTACCATCAGGTGAGATAGTGGTCAAACGTCGCCCCATCAAATATAAAAAAAATATAAAAAAAGTGTCGAGAAATTTTCTTATCAGTACCTATTTCTATCTGCATCCTCATACAGACAGAACGGAGTGAGAACGAAGTCTTAAAAGCTTATTATGTCTGGACGATTCTTTGTCAAATGCACTTAATACTTGCCTGCCAATCCACCGCATCATTACTTTGCCTTGCAATCAGAATATTGGATGCGGCAAGCGCACTTCAGCCTTGGAGACATACCTCCCTTGGGACCACTGACCTCGTTTTTGTAAAGGCCTAGCTGGTAGAAACGCTAGTCTTATAGCTGCTAAGCAAATTAATTTGACTTCATTTTTAGCTTAACCCTGAAAGTACCTAATGTTTCTATTTCGTTCAAAATTTGTGTCATGTCGACAACCTTTTCACAAAATTAGACGAGAGTTTCGCGATAGATAAGTAGGTACCTACTAAATATAATGAATTAGATCATCTTGATCTATGACCTGATTTCATCTGAATATGGAGCTACAGATACTAGGGAAATGTATAAACATCGGTAATTGCTTGTAGTTTGAAGACGTATTAGATGTGCATAAATGTATTAGTTCAAAAGTAAAAACAATTTTTCTTTTTGTCCACAGAGGGTGGCGGGATCAAAGTGCGTGCGCGCGGCGCGGTGCGAGAGCGCGCGCGGCAGGTGACCGACGGTGTTCCCGGCTGATGTGGGCGGCGAGCGCGTGCTGCTCGCGCCAGGCAGGTAACGTATCCTATCCATGCTGTGATATTAGCACCTTTGACATCATTGTACGGTAGTGGTTACATTTTGATGAGAGCTGGTGAACTCCTGAAACAACCTCATCCATATTCAGTTAGCACTACCACAAGGCAGCGGTTGTTTCAACTCAACAGCAGCTGTAGCCAAATGCCATTTAGCGCTTGTCTACTTGTAGAGTAGAAAACCAAATTATATGGAAATGTCGTAAATTTTGATACTTGTCAGTGTCATCCCCATACATTTTGATTTCTACTGTCTCTGTAGACAAGCGCTAAAGTGGCGTTTGGCTAAAGGCACAGGAGATGTTGGAGCGAACGATCTTTCTTTTGACCAGAAACTAACGATTTTTTTATTGTAACCACTACCATACTAAGATAAATACAATAGTCCTACCTAGGCTACGTACAATGAGTTAGTTAATATAGGTACATTTGGTATCTAATTAAACGTCCATGTAATAATACTGTCCCATGAGTGCTGTTACTTCGCCCCACGTGCACTATTACTCCTATGGTCGCGATTGAGATTATCTGTAGCTCTATATTATTATCTCAAAATGACAATTTAGAAAATAACTAGCTCAAGTAAGCTATTGTAAGTAAGCAAAATGAGAATAGCCTGAAGAAAACCTTCAGTAAAAATAATGATTCATATTTGAGGTTTAATTTCAAACTAGGTAGCAATTTCTTTAACATACTTCTTGCACGTAAATAAGCTTCATCGTAATAAGGGAATGGGGACTTCACTAAGTCTTCGGCAAATTGCATTTTCTTTTGCATTAACTTGGTCATATTTTGGACGACTTCCAAATCTCGGATGGTGACAAAAGTTACATTTCTGCGCACACTTGCGATTTTCAGCTTCCGAAAATCAATGACGTTCCAATTATTATTTTTGGAATCTTTTAAGATTTATCCAGATTCTCTTTAAAATATGATTTCAAAATGATTTATGCATTCAGTTTATGAAGTCCTGGATTTTACATCCATTTCACTCTCTTTGAAAAATCGCTGCAAAATTCAACCCTCGATATGAATCACAAAGAGCACGCGAACCTCCATGGCGGCCATTCATAGTGCACTTAGGGCGCCCGCCAGCCGCGTACGGCGTAGCTGACGGCGGTGTGTGTTGGTAGCTAGCAGGCACTCATGCGTGACGGGGTGACTAACCGAGCCGGGGTGGCAGGCGAGGGCGGCGGCAGCGCCACGGCCGCGCGAACCCCCGTGAAGACCTTCCAGGCGTACCTGCCGCCGGCGCACCGCACCTACAGCTGTATACACTGTCGCGCGCACTTGGCCAGTCATGACGAGCTTATATCTAAGGTATATATATTTTTACATTACTGGCTAAAACTTTCATCTTTTTGTTTCACCCTACCTTCAACAGTTTTTTTTTATTATGCTTGTTACCTTTTATCTCTATTTTGAAACATGCCTCTTTTTGTGTTTGCTCGTTTCGTATCATCGTCTGTTTAATTGGCATCGTTTATGGATTTAAAATTCTCAACCTTAATCATATCTAGTCTTCTACAAAGTGTCTTTCGTAGTTCTTTCTATTTGTTGGATGATTTTGGTTGGTAACACTTACAAATGCCGTTCTACTTCTGTCAGTCACATACGACATGCTTAAATCCTACCACTAAAACAAATTTCAACTCGTCGACACGGAAACCAAAATGCTCACCTGATTTAAAACATACATACATACTTACATACAAGTTTGTCTCCAACATTAATTGGTTTTTCTACAATTTTTTTTTTTTTGTGAGAGCTAAATTGCAGATTTCCCTTCAAACTCAGCGTATTTTTTACTGACTTTCTTTAATCGTTTTCTATCTTTAGCGCTTATTAACGATGAATCACTTCTGTCAATATACGTACGTAACCAAAACATTTGAATTTGCGCATTAATTACCATTATCTGTTATTGACACCAACAGAAATAGCTCGTGAACTCTTTTGTTTAAATGAATACGAACAGTAGTAATTAATCTTCATTTTTATGAAGTGCTTTGTGGCCTATTCGGTGACATTAATTGGGTCAACACACTAGGCCTCGTACATTTCAATTATTCCTATTATTTTGGCTTTATTTAGTATTTACCTAGGTGTTTTGTTCTTCAATGCAAGCATTAGAGGTATTTCATGACGTAATAAGTATTTCCATTTCGTGATCAAACCTTATAATTTGGCGAGTTTAGATACGGCCACGTCTCTGCAAAATTTCATTAAATAAATAAAAATAGACAATTTTAAAAAGCAGTTTGATTTCTTTCTTCTGCGGTTTTCTAGTTAGTTTGTGATTCAATTCTGATTATTGTGAAATTCTTGGTAAATATTAGTCAAACCAAGTTGGTGAATGACCTATGACTAAAATCATTAACAAGTTTTTCCCCAACCGTTGGATAAACGGCATCTTGTCTAACATGACTTTAAAAGTGCTAAAAAGAGTTTAGAATTATAATAAACTAAAAAGTAACATAAATGTTTAAGTCTCTTCAGACTTGCTTGTATGACTTTTTGTAAAGTTTTACAATTAAAACAAATACTTATTGCCTGTATAAAAACCTGCCACACAAAAGGCGTCACCATTTCTTATTCTTGCTAAATTCATCTGTTGTTCATTTTACTTCAAAAAGATAATCCAAAGGTGCAAGGTAGGTACATTGCTCACAGCCATTTTTGTCATTAATTCATATCGTCATCATCGTGTTCACGAAGATTTCTTTTGTCATGATGCTATATTCTGACAATTTCAAAATGGAAAACCCAATAGTACCAATTTTATATGTATTAAACAGAAATCGAAAGGAACAAGGCTAACGATTGCTTATTTTTTATTTTTAATGTAAAATGTAGCATTAACAAATTATGTCTCTATTTTCCAGTCGTTTCAAGGCAGCCAGGGGCGCGCGTATCTCTTCAATTCAGTGTGAGTATTATAATATAAACGTCACTTTATTTATTCCGCTTTAGTCATGCATATTTTATGTAGGCGACCTGCACGCTACTAGGATTTCAACACCTATATTAGCATTATTTATCTCTCTTACTAACTTGCAATATTCCATAGTGCTTGCGCGTTTCGTAAACAAATATGAAGGTAAAGATACAGACATGGTAAGGTAATATTACGAAATTATTATTGTTTTTTTTTTGTTTTATCTTTAAATGCATTTTCAGTTCAACTCGCTGTTCTTTTTATTCAGTACGCGCCAAAAGTCATTTAAAAAAATGTTAAACAAACGTCACAACCAGTATTAACGTTAGTACTTGGAATTTTGTAAATATTTCACCTTAAAATCCTAGAAATAGTGATTCGGTTTTCCCAACATTTTAGGCTTTCACATTCACTTGATATTTTATTTTGTAAAAGCAAACTCGTTGCCGTCAAATATTTTACTATTTCAAACAAATATGAAAGCAAAACATTGACGAACGAAATGGAAAAATGGCGTGAATCTTTAATTTTGTTTTTCGAATGCAATTCGAATATAGAAACAGCCAAAGTTATAACAGACACCACGTTGGTTTCTTTTTTTTTGTAAACAAATAAAATAGGCTGAATATATTTTTGATGTTTTGTTGACGCTGTGCAAGTGTGCACGGTTGGCGCCATTTGTTGACGGTTGGCTACTATAAAACATATCATAGGTCGCATTCATTCTCATTCCTGGGTTGTAGAAATTGCTAGTTGAGAAAGAATTAGAATGTACTTAATATACGTGTATAATAAAAGATTTTTCTAAAACTTTTCAGTGTAAACGTGGGTTGCGGGCCGGCGGAGGAGCGTGTGCTTCTGACAGGACTGCATGCAGTCGCCGACATCTACTGCGAGTGCTGCAAGACGATGCTCGGATGGAAATATGTAAGTTAATCTGTAGATACGTTAGATTTTAAAAAAAATGTGGCTAAGTCCGTGAAGTAACAGTATTTGTTGCCAGTGCCACCCCTTTTTGGGGTCAGCAGCGGGCAGCTCTGCCCAGAGGGGCACCAACGCTCTCTGATAAACCTGAACCTTTTAATCTGCGATCCAACCCGCCTACCAATGGCGGAAGTTATGGTACCCCCTAATAAGCCTATTATGTAGTGCACAGCACATTAAGTCATCTTTTAATGCAAGACAGACGTTCACTGAAAACAAGGATCGCAAACAGAATCCCTGTTAAAAGAAGTTTGATCAATTTTAAAAAGAAATAGATAGCCTTTTTTTTAACACGCACTTTGCCTCTCACTAAGATTTTGTCCTGTGTCGTGGGTGCGTTTACAAATATACAACACATACACATGACACCCAGACCCTAAAACAACAAATTTGTGGATCACACAAAGAATTACTCCGTACGGGAATCGAAACCGCTACACGTTGCGCGGTAGCCGGTTACCTACCCACCGCGCCAACCGTGCAATCAAAGCATTGAACATCTGTTAGGCTGCTTTCCGAATGCAATACCTGAACCTACCTAAAATCTAGTCTTAGTCAGAAAAGTGATTCCCAAAAGCCGACCAGAATTCAATAGCATACCGCATTGATATCGCAGCATCTGTATGCAACGTCAGTCCGTCACATTCCCTCTAATATTCCACGGGAGCGATCGTATACCGTTGCATAAGATCGTGACATTCATGCGAAAATCAAAAATATATGTAAACGTGTTCTATATTTATTGTTGTATATGTAAGAGCCTCACAAAGACAAAAAATATCTTAGTTTCAAATACGGTAGTTGACAGGTAGTCAAATTCAATACTTTTATTGAAATGTTAAAAACTATACTTTTCTATGAATTTTGTAATGGATCGCAACTTATGACGTCATCTTTTTATAATAACTATCGCGAAACATACTAAATTAAGTAAAATCGCGAGTTACTCACGTGATTATACTGAGAAAAGCTCTACTACTTTGTGGTTCCCCACACCCTGTGGTTCGAAACTAGTCGAGCTTTTCGTTTTTGACGTTATCATATTTCTACGTCAAATAGCATACTTATTTCCTTAAAATTAGCGAGGAAAAAACCAAAAATAAGTAAATAGTCAAATCAATGGATGAGAGTATGATTATTTTTTAATTATTTATTGCATTGAAAAGTTGAAACAATTTACTTTAAACCTAAGTAACTACCCAATTGGAATATTTTGGTAAGGCCTATGTTCAGCAGTATATGTCGCACGTCTTGTGGCTGGATCAAAAAAGTATTCAGTAATCTTGGAGAGACCAATTATATACCAATTATTGTAATTTTTTTTTTAATCTAGCTTCTTTTTTTATTCTGTACAGAATAGAGAAGTACCATCCCAAGCATTTCAGCTGGCAAAATTAATTACAAAGACTAAAGAATTGAAAACAATTAAAAGTAGGATCTTGTATCAATTTATTTCAGACCGATTGTTGCCTAAAATAGTATTTCTAGAACCCTTTCTAAGCCTCATTGAAACTTTGTCACTGAATTCCAGGGTCGCTTGGCAGGCGAGTTAAAGATCGGAGTATAAAATGTTGAAAGGTTATTTAGGAAGCGATGGTGCCCGGTCTATGCCAAATGTGTAGTCCTTTGGGCCTTACTCGGCTCTTACGACCTAGTAGTCTGGAAGAGTAGATTTTTTTGGCCTCTTGACCACTATCTCGCCTGGTGGTAAGCGATGATGTGGCCGACGATAGAGTACGCGTACCTATAAACAACCTGTTCACCGGGACTTTATGATGAAACTAGCTACTTTCGCGCGGTTGCACCCGCTCTGTTCGGCTCCTATTGATCGTAGCGTGATGTTTTATAGCCTATGACCTTCCTCGATAAATGGGCTATCCAACACAGAAAGAATTTTTCAAATCGGACCCGTAGCTTCGGAGATTAGCGCGTTCAAACAAACAAACTCTTACGCTTTATATAATAGTATAAGATACGTCGACGTTTGACCACCATCTCGCCTGGTGGTAAGCGATGATGTGGCCGACGATGGAGCACGCGTACCTATAAGCAACCTGTTCACTCGGGACTTCGTGATCAAATAAATGTAATCTGCCTTCACCACACCTCTGAATGTCATTAGACCTTCTTATTACATGTACCTCAGACATTTGATAACTTAAAGAAAACTTATTTGAAGCTAGTTTTATTTCCACTATAGGAACAGAGCATTTGAGTTAACCATGATAAGGACAGGTCAATTAAAAATTTATTATTTTTCTCTTCTACCCTAATGGTCCCAAAATGGCCGACGTTCTAAAAACCGATATAGAGTTGATACCTAAGTAAACTCGTCCTGTGTCCTTTTCATTTTAAAATGTAAATGCAGTCCTTTTTAATAAGCAAAAGGTTTTAGTTAAAGTAGAATTTTATCACACAATGAGGTCAGGCGTTTTGAGGCCTCAATGTTATTGTAATTTTAAATATAAATTTGGGAACGTAAGAAGAAATTTCATTTTTCGAATGTGTTTTCGACAATTTGTAATGTAGGGTCGGTAGTGTCGACATTGATAACGACAAAAAACGACATTAACAACAGATTTTTGTCTGTCCGTAATACCTGAGGGGTGGCGCTAGTGTATACTCGGAATTTTAATTCGATTCCAGATTTGACAATTTCAGTGTTGCAACGTTATGACAAGTACTAAATAGTGACGTTGCGAAATTATTCGATATGGAAATGGAATATATCTGGATCGATTAAAGTTTATCAGGAAATTAAATATTTCTAATAGATAATTTAGTTTTGACGATTAATTAACAATCTGAGACTTTTCTTTTATAATTGTGTGTGAAATAAATAAAAAAATGTAACCATGAAGAAACATGACAAATAAAACAGATAGATGTATTATGGTGATAATTTATTTTATAAATTGTCGCCGTCATCGCTATCGCTATCGCTGTCACTTTCTGTAACATTTATTATAAAACCCACACACTGATTGTTTATCGATTTTTGTGTTCATCACTACACTATTATATGTGGTATGATTATTTCACAAAATAAAAAATAGCCAATGTCAAATCTGGAATCGAATTAAAATTCTGACTATATAATAGAGTAAACTTGCGACTTTATAGTTACAATAATTTTATGTAACAGTGACCTATTATGTTGTAAAAGACGACCTTGCAATGACCCTACTTGTTGTATATTATTATACATAATCTGTTATCGATGAGATAATGGAAAACACAGTACGACACAGATCTCTAACGTCATTCTAACGTCTGAGAGTGATAAGACTTTATAGATGAATGTCTTATATAGTAGGTAGTTGTTTAGTGTGAGGTATGTAGGTTTTATGAGTTTGATTTACTTCTGAAGGATTCGTTGTTATATTTTACAAATACCCAAGATTTCAAAAAGCGAACCTAATTTTAGTACACTTTGTAACTCTCCCTTCCCCGTGTATTCTCATTTTTTTCCACTGCAGGCCAATTTAATGGCATTGTAATCTTAAACGACACGTGCCAGGTGGTACTACCCTTTAAATCCTCTTTAGTCATTGAATCACTAAACCCTTAAACGTGTTTATTGTTTCTTTGTTACAGGAGCACGCGTTCGAATCGAGTCAGAAATACAAAGAGGGCAAGTTCATAATAGAACTGGCTCATATGGTGAAGGAGAACGGGTGGGATTAGGCGCGCGGTCTGCTGGGCCGCGCGCCAGACAACGAGTGTACCAGGCCGGACTTTAGGCCTCAGTGACTACAGTGCTGTTGTGATATATAATGGTGGTCAAGCGATGGAAGCCTACAAACAAAGACTTTCCGAAGCGTCAATTACCCACGAACATCTGATATGCACCACGAGTGTTCCTTTACGGCCATAAGGCCCCGATACTAGGCCAGCAACGATGAACTCCCGCCGCGAGCTAGAGCCTTCGTGATGACGGGTCAGGCGAGTTGGATGGTAGAGCTCGCCTTAGTCCATGGGATGATCGGGACAGTCACCTTCGCGCCAAAACTTCAACTGATACCAAGTAGACATAAACGTTTTGGTGTGGAGGAAAAGATCTTTAAAGCTCTATAGCTGTACAGATTCGATGTCGACGTGTAAATCGGTTGGGCTCGATTAGCATATATTATTTTTATTATCACAACTAATTCTTATTGGGAGGTTGGGCCTGACCGATTTACTCGGCGCGTCAGACTGTGAGGATGTCGCCTTATGTGCTCTTTTACTTTAATCGGCTTCAGCGCTTTGGCACCGCCAGTCAACGTAATATTATATTGTTATAAATGTAAGTAATCGATCTCAACCGCCCCACGTAAGGGGCAATGGGCTTAGAATTTATTATTAATTTTTAAAGAACGATTTCATTCACGCCGCGCCTCGCGTCGCCTCGGCGCGGTCGTTAGTACATCGTAAGTTGTCTTAGTTTTTATATTATGTAGCTACGTATGTACTGTATTGAGAGAACACTAATACTTTCTCTTGTCCCTTTTAACCTGTGATAAGTATGTTAGTAATAGAAATTTGAATTTCTTGAACGTATTCTTTCAAGAAGTTGCTCAGATGTCAGATGTATGTTCCTAATGATTTCAGCTGTACAATTTGCTTTTTATTTTGTTTTGTGAGGAAACTAGTCGGAACTTGAATGTGTTGTGGAAAGATGATTTCCGTTTTATTTTACTTTGCGCCTGATTTAGTGATTTTTAGTTTTTAATTGACATATACAATTTTTCGACTGTTCCTCGTGAAATTTATGGATATTTGATTTTAGTTTTCTAAATTCATTCTTTTTAGTTTGAATATTTCATTGGTTGTTGGAAACGCAATCTGAGCTCATTTTTATATGAACGAATGTGGTTAGTAGCCATCGGACGGTTTTATTATTCATTTATTGTTTCTGTGTAATACTTATATCAATTAGATACTTTCATGTATCCCCTATATTTTATCTTAATCACTTGGTACTTCATTTATAATTGTATAAACGTATCATTGTAAGAAATTGCATGAGCTTCGATTATCTATGGTTATGTCTATGTCAATCGATCATAAAACTTGTACGCACTGATTAATTTCCCGAAATCGATATCTTAATAATTATAATCGACTAACTTGACGTCCGACTTCAATAGTTATGTAATTGGAGAATGTTTTTTGTATTTGAATTGTATGACTTTGCCGTCGCATGAGTGTGAAAGCTCACTAGGCGATTTGCCTTACTCAACTTCTGTTCTAAATAAAAAAAAAACAATGTTCTAATTTCAAATTTCTTTGGTACCGCCTAAACTTGACAGCTCAAGTCGATACTATCTCCCGTTAGGTATCTATCTCACCAATGTTAAGGCCTTAAATTATCAATAAATATAGTGAAAATGTGTGTTAAATGAAACATATTTTTGTGAATGAACTTAGTGAGCTTTTAACCTAACAGTTGAATATCAAGAGCGTTGATAACTGCCACTAGTATATACAATGTAATATACATAAATAATATAACAAGCTAAGTGAACGCTCGTTTGATCATGTGTTGTTTCTGGACACATTTATAGTGAAACAGCGGATTATTTAACATATTATATAATAATAATAAATATATTTACAATATACTCAACAAACGATTACGACTTATTATGTATTGTGTACAAATTATCACTGAATTTTAATAAAAATGGCAATATTTTCACTAAATTTGTCCAGAACTATCTTAGCATTTGGAGTCCATTTCTAAAGCAGTATTGTAAGTGTTGATGCTGACTGCTGTTCTAATGGACTCTGCCCTTAAAAATCTGTCTGACACAGCATGTCGATAAGACGAAACTACACTAAAAAATGTCGATACTACTTCCTTCAAAATTTTGTCGATAATGCAATTATAGGCAAACATGTTTTTTTCAAACTTATATTATTGAAAATAATATTCACACTATCAAAAACAAATTTTAACAGGCAATAATGTACGTGTGTGTGTCAGACAGATATTTTATTAATACAATATTTTTACAAATAAAATTAATAGTTGCCTACATTAGATTGTCGGTAAACCGAATAAGAACCATACGAATATCTTTTTTTTTTCGTAAAATAGGACGTGTCTGTTGGTTGGGGATGAATAGTTGTTATAATACAAAAATGAATACATCCTAAAATATTGAATGGAACTTCAAAATCTAAATTCGACGCATGTTGCTTTCTCTGTTCTACAAATGATTTTTATATATAAAGAGATAGCAATATTAATTTGGTATTTTTTCAACAATAATAATTTTAATCTTCTTCAATCAACAGAAATGTCCTTCGAATTGACTAATTCACACGTAAAAATAAGGTCAAACGATAATGCATTACAAGTTCACAATATTGTCTGTTTAATGTAATCGTGTTAACTGTTATCATAGGGTTAATGTTAAGATTTGATGCACAATGTTCAATGAAAATGTTTAAGAGGCTGAGTGCTAGAGGATAGATAAAAAACCCCATTTGTATAAAGACACGTTTGACAGTTTGGTCTGAAAGAGGAAGAATATTGATTTATATAATCTGTGACATTTTCATATTTTTCATCTGTTCCATTCAATGCACCGTTCATTGGGTCCTTCTGTTCATGAGTATACGAATTTATCTGTCAGAATTAGATATGATACTTTTGATTTAATTCCTTTTTTCTTTTGGCTCCTACTAACATGGGAACATTGGTATTAAATTAATGATATATCAACATTTCGAATTAAGTCACCGTCGACATATTATTATATAATACATATGTATAGTTTTTGTGGAGAGCTATAGAGATCACTGCTACTATACTGGACGTAATGTTTCGACTATCACACATACAAACAACGCCATTTTGTGAAAATCGAAAGATTGGGGGCAGTATCCTAGAGGGAGCCCTAGAATAGACGCTAAATGTATCGATGCCGTGGATTTCAATCGTATATCGATAAACAGCGCGCACTACAACAAAAAGGCTTTAAATCCCGCTCTATTTATCGATAACGATAAAAGTTTAGTTTTATACAGAGTGATGTAATATTTTCATCCTGAACATTATGCAACACGATAATCGAAACTTATCGAGATTGTCACAGTAGTATAGATTAACACTCTTAGACCCACATTGTATTCCGTGACGCATTCGACATGACAGAGATGAGAATAAATATTTAATATATAAATATATATCTTGATGATAGTGAGGGAAAATTAACAAATGAAGCTAGATATCTGTGAGGCATAATTAAAAGTATTTTTCTACTTGATCGTTTAGGAATGCTATTAGATATTTTTGGACCATTGTTAAGATAAAACTATGATCAGTATTCGTGGAGTGAAGATAAAGAGTTGATGTTAGTTTTTGTGGTTGTTGATCGAAGTGATTGTTGTTGTCGAGAATAGAGAAAAAGCGCTTTCTAGTTCTAAACAATGCACCCATACACTATACCGTATAGTTTTAGGGCTTCTAACATATGTTACATATCGAACGTACAGTTATTTACATCACTAGTTATATCGATATTATCATGAAATCGATATTTATAACGATTGCTATCGATTACTGCCTTCGTCTGTCGTTTTGTTGGCATCGTAAACGACGCATGATTGCAAGGCATTTTGCTTTTGATTTATTTTCTCTTTGCGTATTTTAGAAGCTCAAAAACAAAGGTCTTGGAGTGTTAACTGATGACCAAGATGAATGAACAGCGTATTATAAAATGGTGCATTTCATTAAGTATATGTACATTTCGCATATTTTTAAGGTATCCCGAGTAGTTGTTTACCAAGGAACCGCTTAATATTTTTGTATTTTCTTAGTATGTAATGATGCATTATAAAAAAATTCGTGGTGTCTTCTTACGATTGTGTACGCATTATGCTATAGATGAGTAAACATATTTGGTTGAAATAATAAGTGCGTAATAAAACACATTTTCGTATTAAAAATACTTTGGCATTTTTATTTTTGTATCTCATTAACAATCAATTTCAATAATCACTCCCATACAGTTTGTAATAATAGAATTTATTAAAAAATGAGAATGATCAACATTCCTTTCAGCTTCATTCATTTCAGGCATAAATAAGTGTATCCGACTCCCTGGTGCACTTTATTATCATAAAACGAAGTCATCGATACAATTATTCACTAAAAAGAATAATTGCTTTACTTATTATTGTATCGATAACACTGATTCGCGCGAACTTCGTATATGGAGTAATATTATTCAAAGTCATAATTGAATAAATCTTATAAAGAACTAGCTGATCCGGCAAACATCGTAGCGCCTTTTTTCTCGCCTTTTAAACCCACCCTGGACTTCCATGAACATGTGAAGACCAAAATAAGGCAAATCGGTTCAGCCGTTCTGGAGTTTTAGCGAGACTAACGAACGGTAATTCATTTTTATTTATATAGATGATATTAGAAACTATTTTAACAGGCAAGTTTTAATATTCATTAAAATTTATTGTCTGGTTTACGTGTGTCATCAAATATTATTTTAATTAGGTAAGCCTTAGGGACTTTATTTGTGCTTAAAATAAATGAAGTACAAATAACAATAATTCATTTTCTCTACACAAGTTTGTAACACAACTCCACAGCCCACCTCCCATTCCCCCCTCCCCTCATTCACACCACAATAAATTACACAATCAATAATAAAATACTCAAAAACAAATTTAGAAAATCAACAAAAGAACTGAGAAATTCAGTGGATAAAATAGATAAACACGGAACTTCATATTAAAACAATTAAATTCATTTAATATTATAATATTTTCAAGACATGTTCATGTTTATATTGCAAAATTTTTGAAGTTCATTTTAAATGTAAATCTACGTTTTTTAGATTATACAACACTAACAAAAGTGAAGTTATACCAACATTAAAATTACAGAATAATAATATTCAGTCTTAGTTATTTCATTATAAGATAGTTTTATTATAATTATTATATAGACCACAAGCTATGGTGTTTTAAAATGTACCTACTGTCTGTATACCTGCCGTAGATAATGTAAAAATAACTGGCGTTATTGCTTCTGACTCTTTAGCCAAACTCCGGACACAATGGGGTAGTTTCCAAATTTTTATTTTAAGAAGATTAATTTAAAACATTAGACACATATTTTTCCTTATCTCAGAAAAGTATATACTTTCGACGATGTGAAATGTCGTGTGACGTCACAGCGTGCTGTATTTTTGTAGACTCCTAAACTTAACGCCATTTTATGTACGTATTGTAACTTTATACGACAAAATAAAAAAATACGTGTTTAATATTTTTCATTATCTAACTAACGGACTAATTAGATTTTTAATATTCTAATCCTGGCAATTACCCTATTGTATTGCAAACACGCATTATTTTTATTACTGTACTGAGGATCTCAAATCAAAATACCCAACAGTACTGTGACCCGACAGCCTACTGTGATTCGCAAGCGAACATTTACCTCTTCACTAAATCATCCTTTAAGTAAATAAATTCATATTCAATTTAAAAATCAATAAATTACTTTAAACAATCCTCTTGAGTTATTGCAACCATATTTTAAAGCTTATCACTAAGACTATAAAGACGATAATAGGAACAAGTCTTATTGGCACAAACTATCAAGTACTTACCAAAGCGCTCAGGTCACTAAAATCACCTTTTAATGTACTATTATTAAGGGCTTTAACAAAGATCTGTCCGTCAACAATATTTTCTACCTCAAATAGTACTTCATCGTCACCTCTTTCCATTTTAATAACTTCTCCATTTTGAATGTAAATAATGTTTGTTTCATTTTCTTTTTTTATTGTGTATAAGTTTCCGTTGTCCTGTTTCCTTTCAAAGTCCGGTTCAGTCTTTATTTTGACCGGTGGTGGTAGGAAACTCAGCATATCTTCTTCTTCGTCTTTACGAATGACTTTCGACTCTCTTACTTCTAACTCTGTCATGGTTGGTAGAGCTTTAAAGAACATCTGAAAATGAGAGGTTATATATTTAGAAAATCCTTACTTCCTTACTTATATTATAAATCGGAAAGTGAGTTTGTTTGTTTGTTTGTTCCACTTTAACGCCGTAACTACTAAACCGATTGCTTTGAAATTTTGCAGACGTAAAGTTAGAAGTCCGAATTAAATAATAGGGCTTATTATCCCTAAAAATTTGATATTCCCGAGGAAAAACAAAAGTATTGGTATAGATGGCGCTGTGTGTATTGGTATATGTCACATTGGCTTTTTATCCTTTTGTGACGCGAGCGAAGCCGCGGGTAAAAGCTAGTATCTCATAAAACATTAGGTAATTTTCATATATTTTGGTAAAAGCTGCATAGAACTGAGTTCAGTAGTTTTTGAGTTAACTGTGAACAAACTGTTAGAACATGTACTAAGCATTAAGTTTTGGGGAAGGTCTGACTTCTTAACAGACTACAGATAAATAATGCCATAAGCTCACCTTCCTAGTCATTATAGACATTCCATGTTGCTTCTTCATGTGTTCTTTGAGTAACGACATTCGTTGGAATCTGAAAAAAATCCTTTTGTTAAAGTTTAAACAACAGCATTGATATTATGATTAACAACAACATGTTATGAAATTCAAATTGTTTTTTAACTCGTCGACTACCGTATTTATAGACACAATTGAAGAACAATAGGTTGCGGTCACCGGTGACCGCTTGGTGTTTGACAGTTTAAAAGTACCTATGATAAATAAAGTGAAATTTGAGTGTGGGAGACCCATGCTTCAGCATTAATGGGCCGGCTCAACCGGAGTGATACCACGGCCGAGCAGAGCCGACGTGAAGCAGTGCTTGCGTTGTATTTCGTCGTATGTTCCCCAATTTCCCCAATCCCTGCATCCCAACAATTATCAAATTCTCAATCCCCAAAAGGGCAAAGTAACGCACTTCTGGCGCCTCTGGTGTTCCAGGTGTCCAGTTCCAGATGGGCGATGCCGAATGCTTACCATTAGGTGATTCATCTGCTCGTTTACTGGCTTATCCCATAAAACAAATAAATATGCTACTTGACACACTCATCATCATCATCATCAACAGCCGGAAGACGTCCACTGCTGGACAAAGGCCTCCCCCTTAGCCCTCCACGTCGAACGACAACTCGCCACCCGCATCCACTGGCTCCCCGCAACTCTGGCGATGTCGTCGGTCCACCTAGCGGGAGGTCTGCCCACGCTTCGTCTTCCGGTCCGTGGTCTCCACTCAAGGACTTTCCTGGCCCATCTGCCGTCAGTCCTTCGAGCGACGTGGCCTGCCCATTGCCACTTCAGTCTGCAGATTTTGCGAGCTATGTCGGTAACTCTTGTTCTTTGGCGAATCTCCATATTTCGGACTTTGTCGCGCAAAGAAACCCCGAGCATAGCTCTCTCCATCGCACGCTGAGCGACTTTGAGCTTCTCCAGAAGGCCAGAGGTCAGGGACCACGTCTCGGTACCATACGTCATCACCGGCAACACACACTGGTTGAACATCCTGGTCTTTAGGCACTGAGGGATTTTCGATGAGAAGATTTCGCGTAACTTCCCGAACGCTGCCCATCCAAGTTGGATTCTTCGGGCGACCTCTTTGTCGAAATTGGACCTACCTAGCTGTATAATCTGCCCTAAGTATGTGTAGTGGTCTACAACTTCGAGGATATCGTTCCCAACGATGACCGGTACAGGTGCAACATGGACGTTTGACATGATTTTGGTCTTGTCCATGTTCATTTTAAGACCCACCTGTTGGGAGACGATATCGAGGTCGCTGAGCATGGTGTTTAAATCCTCCAGCGACTCCGCCATGATGACTACATCATCGGCGAAGCGGAGGTGTGTGATGTATTCGCCATTGATATTGATGCCCAGTCCACTCCAGTTTAAAAGCTTGAAAACGTCCTCCAATGCGTTGGTGAACAGTTTCGGAGAAATCACGTCTCCCTGTCTCACGCCTTTCTGCAATTGGATTGGTTCCGTGCTATCTTCCTGGAGTCGGATGCGCATGGTGGCGTTTCTATACAAACACTTTAGCACCTCGATATATCTGTAGTCGATATGGCATCGCTGGAGAGACTGCAGCACCGCCCAGGTCTCGATCGAATCAAAGGCTTTTTCATAGTCCACAAACGCCAAGCATAGTGGCAAGTTATACTCCTCAGTCTTCTGTATAACTTGCCGCAGCGTATGAATGTGGTCTATGGTGCTAAAGCCTTTCCGGAACCCGGCTTGTTCGGGAGGCTGGAAGTCATCAAACCTGCGTTCCAGACGGTTCGTGATAACCCTAGAAAACAGCTTATATACATGGCTCAGAAGCGAGATGGGTCTATAGTTCTTCAACAAAGAGTTGTCACCCTTCTTGAAGAACAGAACCACTACACTCCTTTGCCATGCTTTCGGCGTAGTTCCTTCGAGAATGACGGAATTGAATAGTTTCTGGAGGACTAAAAGTATCGGTTTTCCACCCGCTCGCAGAAGTTCTGTTGTGATTCCGTCATCACCCGGTGCCTTGTTATTTTTGAGCTGTCTGAGAGCCATCCTAATCTCATACAGGCTGATGTCTGGGATATCCTCGGTATAGTGCCGTGTCAGTTTAGCTCTAGGATCCCGAGCTGTACCGACAATGGGTTGCCGTGTCGAGGTGTATAACTGTCCGTAGGACCTTTCAAGCTCTCTCAGAATCTCTGGCTTCGACGAAACGATGCTGCCATTTTCGGTCTTCAGTTTCGTCATTTGGCTTTGCCCAACAGACGAATTCCTTGCGAATACTTTTGCGCCCTGATTTCGCTCTATGGCATCCCTGACTCGTGCGGCGTTATATGCACGCAGGTCGCGTCGCATAGACTTTGAAATTCGCCTATTAAGTTTGCCATATCCAGACATGTCAACTGAAGACTGCAGCCTCATCTCGTGTCGGTCTTTCAATAATTTAAGTGTTTCTTTCGAGAGCTTTTGAGGTCTATTTCGGCGTGGGTTTTTGAAAAACTCTGAGCCCACCGTTTGGACAGTTTCCACTAACCCATTATTTAACTCGTCAATCGTTTCACACTCAGCCAGGCACTGGAAGCGATTATGCAGTTGGAGCTGGAACTGTTCGGGGTTCTGGACCTGGGCGCGACCAGGACGGAGTGTGGACCTCACCAGGCGTGACCTCTCCAGCTTGACATTGATATTCAGTGTGCCTCTGACAATACGGTGATCGCTGCCGGTTTTCACCTTAGCTATCACAGAGACATCACTGAATATGCGCTTGTCGGTCGCCATGATGAAGTCGATCTCATTTTTGGTGTAACTATCGGGACTTATCCACGTCCACCTCTTAGCTGGTCGCTTTCGGAAGAAGGAGTTCATTAAAAAGAGTCTCTCCCTCTCCATAAAGTCGACCAGCCGCTGGCCCCGACGGTTTCGCTGCCCATATCCAAATGGCCCCATTCTCAGCTCTTCGCCGTTCCGTGTGCCCACCTTCGCGTTGAAATCCCCCATGACAACGGTGAAGTGTGCTTCGGAGGTGTGTATGGCTTGGGAAATTTCCTCATACAGAGCCTCTACTTCATCATCGCAGTGTGTCGAGGTCGGCGCATATACCTGTATGACCTTCAGCGAATACCGGTGTGATATTCTGAGTATAAGGTACGCTACCCTGCTCGACACACTGTCAACTTTACTCACGTTGTTGACGAGGGACTTGCGGACGAGAAATCCGACACCACCCTGGGATTTTTGATCTCCTTCCCGGAAGAAGAGCAAGTTGCCGGAATCCAGGACCATCGTATCCTGGCCCTCTCTTCGGATTTCAGACAGTCCCAAGATGTCCCACCGCATTTTGCTCAATTCTTCCTCCAGCTCGACAATCTTCTCATCGGTCCGCAGGGTGCGGATGTTATGTGTTGCCAGGGCCAAAGTTCGTCGGGGGTGGTAGCGGTTCATCTGCCGGGGATTCTTAGCACCCCCTGCTCCGCCGTTACCCGATCCGCTACCAAGATCAGGAATAGCGGAGCTGCCGGGGACTGGGGGCCGTGTATTTAGGTTGTCGTTCATAGTGAGGGGGGGGGGGGTTTGCCATAATCCCCACGCTTGGCAGGCGGCTTGGGGATCGCAGTTAGGTCACCGATATATTTATGGAATGCTGCAGCCCATTTCTCGGTGTCTGGTCGCAGTTTTAGGACGTACCCGGGTCCGAACTTGACACACTAAGAAATAATAATTACGAAAAAGTATTGAATTTGCTAATTGGAAATATCCCTATTTGTTTGATTAATTAGCGCGAGTTTATCACTTTAATATTTTAAATGTCTGTCAATCACGCTGAAAATACTGAACGGATTTTGATAAAACTTTGGTATACAAGCAGGGTATGAGCTGACTTAGGTGATAGGATACTGTTTATCCCGATTAAATGCTCCCATGGGATAAAACAGGAATCATAATATGGCAACAGCTATTTTATTTAATGTTATTTTTGTTGTCTTTGTTTTTTCTTAAAAACATTGCATTGTCCATTTCAATAAGATATTACACATACCTTTTAGGGCAGATCTGACAGGGGCAGGGTGGCGGTAAGTTCCTGTGGACCCTGTACACGTGGAGGTTCAGAGCACATTTCTGGGCGAAGCGACGGTCGCACTCCTCACACGGGTGCTTACGAACAGCTGGGAATATTATAAAAGAAAATTAGGGCTCATCCATAAATTACGATACACGATTATCAAAATTTTTTGCCCCTCCCCCTTCCTTCCTTGACACAGCTAGTCATATTTGTGAGAACAGAGTGACGTAACATTATGCAGAATTACGTATGAATAAAAATTTCTATTTAAATTACTTAAAATAAAAAACATTAATACCATTATATTTCGTGTTTTATAAGTTTTTGAAATGTGACATCACAAAGTTTAGGATCCCTCCCTTCCCCCTTGTCACATAAAGTCACACTTCGTCGACCCCCTCCCTACCCCATTACGTGTGACATGACTTCATGACTGCCACATTAATCTACTGGTCTCAAGCGTAATTATCAAACAAAGGGTCTCGTGGTGAGCAAAGAATTATTGAGTTGTTGGGATTAGTAATTACAATCTGATTTTATTCCCAATATGTAGCCTCCTACATGAGACTCATAACATACCTAAGTGGGTAAAATAGAAGTTTACGATTAACATGCACACATCTGCCTATTGCCTAGATAATCTTACATCTTATACTTATCTTATACTATTATATAAAGCTGAAAAGTTTGTTTGTTTGTTTAAACGCGCTAATCCCAGAAACTACTGGTCCGATTTGAAAATATATATTTTATTTATTTTTATTATTTACGCCTCGTTGGCCGAGTAAGTGCGACTGCCGGGCAAGGGGTATCGGGTCCGATTCCCGGGTCGGGTTTAAAAAAAATAACAGTAGTTAGTAGCACGGAGTCTGGAATTGTGCTCGGTATATGGCAATAGGCTCACCCTCTATTACATGGGACTCATAACATAAATAGTGAAAATTGGGTGTTATATTGTACAGTGGCATTAAGTACCGTAATGTGCACCTTTGCCTACCCCTTCGGGGATAAAAGGCGTTATAATTTTCTTTTTGCACAATGGGTATACAATGGCGGACTTAATGCCTAGTGGCATTCTCTAACTTTTTGTGTTTGATAGTCAATTTATCGACGAAGATTATAAGCTATAAAAAATTACGCTATGTTCAACGGAGGCCGAGCAAAGCGGGTGAAACCGCGCGGAAATAGCTAGTATTATATAAAGTTGTTTTTTATATTAGATGGAACTGACGTTTGACCACTGTCTCGCCTGGTGGTAAGCGATGATATGGCCTACGATGGAGCACTTCGACCCATAAGCAACCTATTCACTCGGGCCTTGAAGTCACCCAGGTTATACCCTTCAGGAAATACAGACTCTGGCAAAGAATTCTACTCCTTAGCAGTATGTACAAGGAAGCTTGATGCGAAGCGCTTCATGCGTGTGGGTGGGACATCTACCATAAACCGGTGACGCTTCGCCGATTGTTTTATGGTACTAAAGGTACTACTGGTTCAAATTGAATAATTATTTCTTTGTTAGATAGTCCATTTATCGAGGAAGGCTATAAACCATCACGCTACGATCAAAAGGAGCCGAGCAGAGCGGGTGAAAACGCGCCGGACTTACTATGTAGTTAATAATAATTATTAATTATGCATTTCTGACCAGAATGTGGACCTCAACCGTTCGGGACGTAAACGGCGTGATGACAACACGTGTCTAGTACAGAGTACCAAGCACGAATAACTATCGCATTCGTATGGTAACAGTATCGAGCGAGTAAGGCGTTCTGATTGGTTGGTTCACTTGAACCGGCCAATCAGAGCGCCGAACGCGCTCGATACTATTACGTTACGAATGCAATAGTTATTCGTGCTTGGCACACAGACGGTGCCGACACTTACCGTTGTGTGTGTCCATGTGAGCGACCAGCGCAGCTTTGATGTTGAAGGCCCGTCCGCAGTGGTCGCAAATATATTGAACACCGGTGTGCTTTTTCGCGTGTCGCTGTAAAGTAAAATATTTATATGAAGAACAAACTGCTACTGATGTAGCGCAACGTGTTGGAAGTCCAATTCCCGCTTAAAAAAATCTTTTTTGACCCATAAATTGTTGTTCTAGGTCCGACAACAACAATTTATTTATTTATTTATTGCAAAATGTACATACATAGCGGTATTATACTACTAGTACAGTACATCACCCTGTTAGCGCGCAGCAATTTAACTTATAAATAATAGATAACTAAATAATCGTCTAATATATTATGTACTTATTCTACTCATTATTAACTTAATTACTCACTATAAACTTATTATTATTAAAAAAAATTATCACTTATATACCTATATTTATGACCTAGAACAACAATTTACGGGTCACAAAATTTTTACACACACTTTATACCCAACTATAAAGTATATGCGGCATTTGTATTTGTAAATGCACCCACCACGCCACAACATAGAAGAAAATTCTAGTGTCCTCACACTAAAACTTTCCAAGTTTTGTAATATTTAAAATATGTTTATATTAAAACTTGCGTGAGACATAATAATTTATTAATTATGCTTTAGGCTTCCTCACGTAACTGTTTGACGAAGAACTCGACTAGTTTCAAGCCATGCTAGAGGCTCATATTCATGAGCAGCATTCCGCGACACAAGACGCGGTGTCTATCACTGTCACGCTGCTACAGTAGAAGTTCCTCGTAACAGTTACGTGAATAAGCCGAAAACAGTATTACATACATACATACATACATAACATCACGCCTTTTATCCCCAAAGGGGTAGGCAGAGGTGTACATTACGGCACTTAATGCCACTGTACAATGTAACACCCACTTTTCACTATTTATGTTATGAGTCCCATGTAATAGGAGGTGAGGCTATTGCCATATACCGGGCTCAATTCCAGACTCCGTGCTAGGTACTACTGAGATTTTTTTTAAAAACCCAGTAATATTTTGCCCGACTCGGGAATCGAACCCGAGACCACTCGGCCAACGAAACAGTATTACAAAATTAATAAATATCACATAAATATATAAATATATTTCCTACTATCTCATGTTACAATTAAGTTAAAAGAATACTTACTGAGAGTGCGGAATTAGATGCGTATGCGCACGGGCAGGCGTGGCACCGGTACGGTCGCTCGCCGCGGTGTAAGTTCTCGTGGGACTTCAGGTTACTCTTCGTTATGAACACGGCCGAGCATAAGGAACATGGATACCTGATGAAGAGGGTATAAGGAATAAATTTATTTGTATATCGCAATAGACATGACCATATTATTTATTTTGTTTTACAAGATAGGCACCATAGTACATTGCCTAACAGTAAGGGATTATTTAGTGCCGCCCGTGGGGAAACCCAATACCAAACGAGACAAATGGCAGATGAATTATAAAAAAAATAAAGCTTGAGAAAAAAAGTTTATTATGAAACATGGCGATAATAAACGAGTAAATGAATCATCTCATGGTAAGCACTCAGCTGATGTATCTATGACGTTCATAGTCGAAATAGTCGGCAGCAATAATACCAATGTGCTAAGGAGTAGAATTCTTTGCCAGAGTCTGTGTTCCCTAAAGGTATACCCTTTCTGTGTGTCTTCAAGGCCCAAGTAAATAGGTTGCTTATGGGTCGACGTGCTCCATCGTAGACCGCATCATCGCTTACCACCAGGCGAGATACTGGTCAAACGTCAGCCCATCAAATCTTATAAAAATGAAACCCGTTTCCCGTTGTCACGCCATAACTTGACAATGGCTGGACCGATTTGGCTGTTTTTTTTTGTGTTTGTTATAGTCAGGAGAAGGTTCTTAAGATAAAAAATAAAAAAAAGTCTTGTGGGAACGGGAGAAAAAGTACGCGATCCGCAATCCTGTCCGCCAGTGTGAAAAAAAAATGTACTCACTTATGGCGTTGACCGTGATTAATATAGGGGTCGTTAGTGAGGAAGGGTCGGCCGCGTCCCTTGCGCCCCAGGCACACGGCGCGCGCCCGCAGTACTATCTCAGCGTCCGGAGCTACGCAACGCTTCTCATGCTTGTATAGATTCGTAGTACTGAAATATTACAACATGCTATCAGTTATTTGCATGTGCTAATTTGTATTATTTTGAACCAGTGAACTACTGGATGCAATATGAAAATTATTTTTATATTCTTAAGGCCATAAAACAATAGTACAACCAATAAGTGCCAAGCATTGGGTGACACCGTGCAGGAGTAGATAATTGATATTAATAAGTAACTAACTTTTGCTTATGACTTAAGATTTTATTAAGGTAAGGTAGCCAATGCCTTTCTCTGTACTCCCAACAAATAATTAGTATATATGAGTAAGTTTACCTTCTGAAATCGACTCCACAAGCAAAGCAGACTAAATATCTTTCTCCATGCTTCTCCTGGTAATGGCGACCTGCAGCAGGCAGTGTGTCTGACACATGTCCACAATATATGCACCTGTAAATATCAAAGAGGAATTTTGAGTACTTGATTGATGTTTTAGACCTATCAATTTATATTTGTATTGGAACTTTCGTGAGACATACTACTTAAATAAATTATTATATTTTTTTGTGAGTAAGCCGAAAACATAATAATTAATCTATTAATTTATGTTGAGTTTCTTATTAGTTTTTAATAGACTGGACTCACAGATAGATGAAATGTCATGATATCATGAATAGAGTAGATGCCTAATTTTTATTTTTAATGTTCGTCTGGTAGATTATTTTAAATCATTAGACACATATTTTTTATTTTCTTACAGAAACGAATACTTTCGACTATAATTATATTTATTTGAAATGTCGCGTAACGTCATTTCTATGTACATTTTATACGTAGAAATGACGTTTTAGCCCCCACTCCCAAACTTTGATTCGTTTTATCAAAATATTGTTTTATCATACAACAAAATAAAAAAATATGTGTCTAATATTTTTTCATTACCTAACTTACGGACTAAATAGATTTTTAATTTTCATACCGTCATCATCCCAATTGAAATCATGTCCTTTAGTTTATTTTTCTAGTTTCCACATACATACATATATATATAGATATTTCATATGACTAAATTTGGTTGCAGACTGTCAAAATTTAATCATTAAGCTAGTTCTTGTATTAAAGACACATACAAAATACAAACACACATTCAAATATTTATAAACTTTACTATAGAGACACAAGGATCAAAATATTTGTCTCACTTACGCAAACATAACGCCTTCCATTACAAAGTAGTCCTGCGGTGGTGGTGGTGGCTTGGCCATTGACATAATCCGACCTAGCGTGTTAATCAGTAACTCCTTGTCGTCTCTCAGTTCCTCGTGATTCTCCCGTAGTTCTGCTACAAATGAACGTTGTTGCCAAGGCTTCAACATTGTGAAGCGGTGCTTATCTCGTCTTCGTGGTGATTGAGACTCTTCAGGCATGTATTCTGGATCACCTTCACAAAAATCCATACCATCTGTAGATTCTTCTCTGATGACAGTCTGTAATAGTTATTTAGATTTTGAGTTGTATGTAACAGGTGCCTGTTGCACTTTTCCAATTATAAGACAGACAGAAAATTCAAATTTTATGTTTCAAAAGTGTCTTATTAAGTATTAATTGAAATATGCTTTGACTTAAGCTTAAGTAAATGAAGATGTAATGTTGCATGTAAAAATTACTATTAGAATCTAACACAAAAACAGGAATAATAATTTCTCAAATTAGGTAATCTTGTTTACAAAAGTTATAGTAAAATTTATAGTACAGAAAATGAGCGCGAAAGAGCCATTGCCTACCTTTGTAACTGTTTCATCTTCAAGATATTCATAGTCACAATTATCATCTTCTGGCTCTAATTTCACTTCAACATATTCCCCATGTTTCTGTGCAATTTCAAGTATATTATCCACTTCGTTCTTGGATTCTGAGTTCGACTCTGAAGCTTCCTTTTCCAAGTCTTTGGTTTTTTCATCGTCAACCACCACCAACACGATCATATCGTCTTCAGTCGCCTCCATGGTGTCTCAGCCAACTTCATATGCCTGAAAATAATTAACCAGGTTTGCTTTTACAATCATTTTTGATAGTTAAAATAAAATACAAAATATTTTTCAAATAAATTTGACAACCCCAAAAGAGCGCCATCAATTTTTTTTCTTTCAAAGGCAAAGGTTCCAAAATTATAAAACCTACTATATTCTTAGCACTTATTCTGATTTGTTTACACGAAACACTTAAAAGAAATCAAATATTTACCTTAAAGCCACAATGTATCATAAGATTGGCGTAAATAATTCCAATAAATCGTAATAAATACACAACGTAACCCAAACCCAACTTTATTTGTTCCTTTGCCTGACTTTTGAGTGCAGATTAAAAATATTGTTTTACCAGTTTTAAATAAATATTAAGCAGTTTAAAAAACTATTCAATAATGCGAAAAGAATTTATTACAACCAAATTTCTTACTTTTATTGCTTTTTATTATTTATTATGTATTTATTTCAACAAAATTATTTGTGTAGTAGGCCTAAATTTTTTTTTATTAACTTTAGCAAGTTGACATTTGACGGTTGACGTTGACTTGACATAAATAAACACAAACAAAGAAACAGGCAGAGACTTGAATTATTTTAATCTTATTAATTCAATGTTACTTTTATTTACTTTAAACAAAAATATTATTAATCAACCTAGTCAGGAAATTGTTTTGTTTTTGTTAAAGATTTAACAAAAACGTAGTGACTTTATCATTGAAGACGACAGCCTTGATATTTTGTCATCTGTTTTAGTTGGCGCTAAAATTTATTCAATGTAGTTATAGAATTTATGTGTTATTTTATTTTCTTAATTTTATCATAATGAGTTTAGTCAGTATAAACAATTCTGTACCTCCAATGCTTTCGAATAATATAAAAGTTTTAGCCTTAGAGAAAACACTATTACAAGGACTTGATAATTTCAAAGGTAAAAATAATAAAGAAATATATAATATTCAATTACTTATAAATCTGATACATTAAGTACATAAATTACACGGCAACAAGCTGTTAACTTCATATTAAAAAATATACAAAGTTTCTTATTTCATTATATTTCTTAATACTTTTATCTATTTCCAGATCTCCTGTCTGACTTTGAACAACTTCACATTGAATCTAATAGTTATAAAACACAATTTATTGAACAAAAGGAAAAATGTAGTAGGTATGTAAAGTCACCAAAACAATAATAAATAGCCAGCAACCATCTTTAGAATACAAACCTCATAGTATAAAATTGCTCTTCTGTATGAAATAATCCATGCAAAAAATATTCGTATTTATTATATTCATAGTAATTATTTTGTATTTACAGCTTTAGCTTACTATCCTTAGATAGTTATGCTAGAAATTTAATTTTTCTTTAAAGTGTGTCTAGATGTAATATTTTTTAATTTCAGCAATAGCTGCAGTAGTGCTGAAGCTCTGAAGAGGATTATTGAATCTAAAGACAATATCATACAGTTAGTTGGTAAGTCCAAATACCTATTAACTCGTGGAGTACAGTCATTATAGACACAATTAAAGAACAATAGGTTGCAGTCACCGGTGACCGCTCGGTGTTTGACAGTTTAATATTTATAAGACTACTTCTATAATACCTACTAGTTAACCTACTTATAATCTATATTATATCCTCTTGTCTGTTGAAAGTTGGGGCCATAATATTTTACCGGGAGCCGGTGTTTCAACAGATAAGAGGATATGTATACTACTTGTATACTATTATAGATTAAAGGCAGTTTGAGATGAAAATCAACAAACCTAGCCTATACATATTTATTCCACATTTTTAAAAAAAGTCTATCAATTTCAGCATCAACATTAACAAGACTAAATGAGACGAAAGACCTGAAAATATTAGATGAAGCTTTCAGAATATTGTTTGGTGAAACACCCACATCTGTGTCAAAGTACCAGGCTAACATAGACTGCAAAGAGATTAAGAAGTCACCAATAAAGCAAGAATTGCATTCGTCTCTTGAAGATGTCTCGTTTAGAGAGGAATCTGAGTCTGAGATTGAAGGAACGCCCACAACGGGACGATTCAGTCCTATTATACCGATGAAGAAACTTAGGGGTACTACTACAGTGACTACGTCGTCAGATTTTAGGGATAAGAAAAAGTGTCCTGATAATTGGTAAGGGAAATATCTACTTACAAAGCTGTGTTTTAAGTGTCTTAGAGCCATGCTCCGGCACGAATGGGCTAGCTCGACCAGAGTGATACCACCGGCCTTGCATAAAACCGATATGAAACTACGCTTGCGTTGTGTTTCGTCGTATGAGTGAGGTTAGAGGCCAGAGGTCCAATTACCTTCCCCAACTCATGAATCTCCAACAATCCTCGAATTCCTAATATTCAAAAGGTCGGTAACGCATTTATAAAGCCTCTGGTGTTCTGGGTGTCCATGGGCGACGCCAATTGCTTACCATCAGGTGATCCATCTGCTTGTTTACCGGCTTATCCCATAAAAAAGCTATTCTCACTTATGCACTTGTATTGGTAGTTTTCCTCAAATATGTCTTAACTCATTATGCACAAGAAGAGCAACATTCAAAACTTTTTACTGTTACAAGGAAAAAATTGCAAAACCTAGTAAGATCAAAAAAGCTGTCTTGGATCTCTCAGCTCCCTTATCCCGTGCAATCCAAGTATTGTTGGGCTTCTAATTTTCAAATTTTTCAGTTATTGGGTAGTTTCCAGGGTAGCAAAATTAAAAATCTAATTAGTCCGTCAGTTACATAATGAAAAAATATTAAACACGTATTTTTTCATTTTGTCGTATTAAGTTGCAATACTTAGATAGAATGGTGCTAAGTTTAAGAGTGGGAGGTAGTTACGTCATAACGTGCTACAAAATGTGGCACGCTGTGACGTCACACGATATTTCAAATTAATATAGCGTCGAAAGTATTTAATTTTGTGAGAAAAGAAACGTGTCTAAAGTTTTAAATTACTTTACCAGACGGACATTATAATAAAATTTAGGAAACTATTGCTTGGAGACTGTAATACCTACTCCTGTCCTATGTAACATATTGATTTCCTCTTTCTGTACTCATAATAATGTTGTTTCGTAACACATCTTTCTCCAATTTTACAGGGCAACACCAGAAAAGAAAACTTTCAAATTATCCTCGTCAACTCCAGTGGGTGGCAAAAAGACAGGTAGATATAGACAATCCCGACTGAACTTAGTGAAAGTGGAACAGCCTACTGTGATAGACATTACTTGTTCTCCGGAGTTCAGTGGCGGACGGAGGGATGATTTTGATAAGGATAAACCGGTGAGGATTGATAATATTATTTTTAATTACAGAAATGAAAGTTTATCGTCTATTTAATTTGTGTTGTATAAATGAATAGGCCGCAATACATATTTTTATAGTTCTTTGACAACAATATTTTAAGTATGAGATTTGCGGTTTTTTGTTTCTACTGGTCACTTCAGTTGTCGCTTTATATGGGTGACTAATGTGGCTTGGAATGAGGTAACACAAAATTAATAAAAGAGCATTTCTTTTTTCGTTTTTTATATTACTGTATCTTTTTATTTTATTATCCTCAAGGTTATTTTCTTTTTCAGTCTTTCTGACTGGATTTAGGTGTTGCATTGTTCTCACATAATCGAACCAATAAAACTATGTAACTAGAGAATTGTATTGTAAACCTGATTGAAAAAGAGTAACCTATGGAGTTTCTTGCTCGTTCTCCTCCATAGGAATCTACGCCTTGGAATGAGCAACTAGCTTCACTTATAAATTTTTGTTGTTTGACGTTCAAAAGTGCCATCCTGGTCTAATTGAAATAAATGATTCTTGACTTTTTTTTTTTTTGACTGTAACTGAACAATGTTATTTAATTACAGCTACTTATCAAGAAGGAATCAATAGAGAACGAGGACACAATATTACCATCCCCTACAAGTGGACCCAATAATTTTACACTGTAAGTAAAACTTTTTTAATTCCTCATAAAAGGAAGAAATATTTATGTTTATACTTTGCTGTAACATACCTACATATTTATTAAATAGAATTTCCAAAAATAAATTCCTAATCCAATACATTGCTAGACAGTGTATGAAAATTAAAAATGTAATTAGTCCGTCAGTTAGATAATAAAAAAATATTAGACTAATATTTTTATTTATTTTATCGTATAAGAAAATAATACTTAGATAAAACGGAGTTAAATTTAGGAGAGGGAGGTCGTTACGTCACACTACCCTATAAAATGAAGTAAATCGTGACGTCACACTATATTTCAAATCAATATATTTTCGAAAGTATTTAATTTTGTAATAAAAAAAATACGTGTCTAATGTTTTATTAAAATAAAATTTAGAATACTTACTACCTACTCTATTGGGATTAAAATCTAAACATTCGAAATTGACTTGTTCTGTAAATCATTGTTTATATTATATGTTTTAAAAATAATCATATTCAAAGACATGAAAATTTTACTTAAAAGTATACTTATTTACTTCCCACAGGTTCAAATCTAAAGAAAGTCCAATGAAGTTCAAGAAGCCGCTTAGTTTGAAACCCAAAACTGAGAAAAAGACTCCGCCAAAGGAAGTTGATCAAAATGTCTCACCGTCTATAATTAAACAAGAACTATTAAATACAGAAAATGTGTTCAAAGATAATATCAATCATAGTGTCACTTTTACTCAAGAGGATTCTATTAATTTGTTGCATCCTAACAGGTAAGTCGAAATAACGCAATAATCTATCAAAAGCTAGCGAAATTCTTAAAAAATCCCGACCTATTTACGAGTAGTACCTAAAGCGAGTCTTCATTATGAGCAGCGTGCGAGGTCGCAGCGACGTCACACAGTCTACTCTTATCTTATACTATTATACATATATATAGGTAAAGCGGAAGAGTTTGTTTTTTTTGTTTGTTTGTTTGAACGGGCTAATCTCCGTAACTACAAGTCTGATTTGAACAATTCTTTTTGGGTTGGATAGCGCATTTATCGAGAGTGGTTATAGGCTATAAAACATCACGCTACGACCAAAAGGAGCTGAGCACAGCGTAAGCCTAAGCATATGTGGTAATGATTCTTAGATATTGTCGGTAATATAGTGTATTACATTACAGACTCCCTAAGAACTTAAAACAATCGCCAATGAAAGTTGAGCCGTATAATGACGAGACGTACTGTGACACGCAAGCCAGCGTCTCACTCTTACACCATGTTGATAAACTGGACAATATACACAAAGGAAAGGAAAATAGGTGAGTTTTATTTATCTTTTGTACCTTTTTTGTCACAAAATACAACTATTTTTACAGAGGAACCTACTGCAATAGTGTATTGACAATTTTTATTCTTTATGTCTTGTAATTGTGTTCTTTAATGGTTATCCTACATAATTATAAGTTCATATGATTGCAAAACGACACGGTTTAATCATCAATAAATTATGGGTTTTTTAACCGACTTTAAAAAAGGCGGTTTGACCTGTATGTATGGTTGTGCGCGATTATCTCGCAATTGGCTGAACCGATTTTGATGTGGTTGTCAGCAAAGTGTTTGTTACACTTAGGAGAAGGTTTTAGTATATTAATTAACCGGCTCAAAAAAATGGGGATTGAAGTCGGTTTTGTTTAAACGTAGCTTATGAAAGAATTATACTACCTACCTCGTTGATCGAGTGGCTGCTTGAGCGACTACCAACCAATAGTTAAAATCTCGAGGTCGGTAAAATCCCAAAAACATGTCGCTTCTCATTGAACCTCCACTTAACCTCAATCTATTTAGTTCAGTACCATCTTATGCATTGTAGAAAACTATTTTAAACCAACTGTCTAATGTGTAAATGTCGTAATCTCTAAATCGTTTCTTTCATTTCAGCCCCAACAAGAGTCCTTTAGCTGAAAACATCAATATAATGAACGTGCAAGACGACGATGAGCTCCAAGCAAGCATGTCAGTGTTACAAAGAGAATCATTCAATAAAAACGCTGTGGATAATGTTAAAAGGTATGTATAATAGTGTAGTTAGTCTTTTTTTAAAGGGGGGAAGATCATCGAATGACTTCAGTGAGTGTCACACTCTAAAAACCACCCCGTTCCTACTCCTGCACTTCGAGCCGGAGCCCCGGTAACCCATTAAGTCCTCCGCGGCTCCGTATCGGCATCAGCCCTATTGGGCCCTATCCGTGGTGGTCTGATGGTTCGCGCGCGCGGAACGCTCGGGTCTGTTTCTGGTCGGACGGGGAGCCACCCATGCTGGCCGTCCGCAGGCCCGCGCTTACGGTGGCCGGAGATCGTCCCGCGATTCCCGACGCCCGGTGTGTCCTTCGCGACGGCTGGGGCGTGAGGAGGCAACTCCTCAACCCAACTGCCTCCTCTGTATACACATACATACCATTGAGTAGCCTTTCAGTATTCGGGCGAATGTCTATTTTTTATTTCACTTAATATTTGACGTTTCGAAATCCTTAAATAAATAAGTTGTTTGTTCTAGAAAAATTCCTGAATTTGTCGAAGTAATTGATGAGCCCATCCGAAAGAAATCCGAGAAACGACTGTTACCTGGTTGGAGCTGTGACAAATGTAAAGAAGTAAGTAAATAAATGCGTATAAATATATATTTATTATTATTATTAACGGATGTACAGTGGTTGATTTACGACCGCATTTTTACCCACATACCTATTATTTTGTTGATATCCAATATTTAGCTTTGTATATAATGTTAATTTGTTTTCTTATGCAAAAAGATCTGCGCTCCTTCGACTCATAATTAAACAGTTTTAATTATGCAGAGACGCTTGTTGACAAAGAGATATGCATCTGCATTTATCAAATCTCTTGAGGAAGGGAAAATCATCCAATGACTTCTCCTGCCTAGGGTTAGGCGAGAGGGAGTGTCAGACTCTTGTTGACTAGAAACCATCCCGTTCCTACTCCTTCTCTTCGAGCCGAGCCCTGGTAACTCATTAGACCTTTCACGACAATGCATACATTTAATAGAGAAATATTAACTCGTCGAGTACCGTATTTATAGACACAAGGTTGCGTTCACCGGTGACCGCTTGGTGTTTGACAGTTTAAAATTTTCATCAAAAATACAATTGAAACTAACAGTTGACAAACTTTACAGTTTTTCGGAGAACTTTACAAGCATGATCCGGAGATGATGGCGAAGAAAATAAACGAATGTTCTCATCATAGAGGTGTGAACAACCCAACGGACCGACCGAAAACTCCGCCCCGATTCTGGAACCCACGCTGGGAAGTGCCTAATGATACCGAGGAGTTTAACAGAATGAACAACGTTTCTTGACGCAGTGGTACTTATTTATATGTTCTTAAAGTTCAGTTTTGGGTAGTTGTCCAGATATGTTAATATAGTATTAAAATATGTGATATTTGTAAGTATGTTTCAAACGATCATTTCAATGTTTTCATTCTAAGTCACATTTTGCCTATGGAAGGCACTAGGCCTATATAGCTTATGGACAGTGGAACCTGTGGCCGTAATAAAGCTCTATTTTGTTAGAATAGAGAAATTAATAATTACGGCATTGCGCGACCCTAATGCTCTAACAGACGGACCGCATTTTGACTGCAATCCAACCACAAATTGCAGTTCGGATGCAGTTTGAATGCAGTCGTGTCACGACTGCTGAATTGCAAACCAAACGTGCAGTCCGATTACAGTTCTATTGCAGTCATGACCAAACGGATGCAAATCAAACGAGCAGTCCGATTGCAGTTCTATTGCAGTCATGGCCAAACGGTTGCCAACCAAACGAGCAGTCCGATTGCAGTTCTGTTGCAGTCTAGGCCAAACGGGTGCAAACCAAACGAGCAGTCCGATTGTAGTTCTATTGCAGTCATGGCCAAACGGTTGCAAACCAAACGAGCAGTCCGATTGCAGTTCTATTGCAGTCATGGCCAAACGGTTGCAAACCAAACGAGCAGTCCGATTGCAGTTCTATTGCAGTCATGGCCAAACGGTTGCAAACCAAACGAGCAGTCCGATTGCAGTTCTATTGCAGTCATGGCCAAACGGTTGCAAACCAAACGAGCAGTCCGATTGCAGTTCTATTACAGTCATGTCAACTGGGTTCCGAGCCGCAATTTGCAGTTGTAATGTGGTTCGTCTGTTTAGAGCGTAACTGCTCAATATGAACAACAGGCCTAGTTCAATGAACAAACAGTTGTGATGAGTCTATGATTAAGAATAACTTTAATCGGTATTGGTAGCTAATTATATAGTATTTTAACTAGTGGTAAAGGGCGTTTAGAACTTTACACTGCCTGAATTAACGGGATCAACAAGACATGAAATAAAAATATTTAGGTACTTGTTGTGTGTGCCATTCAATGTGGATTAGATTGTAAAATATTTTATATAGAACTTAGATAATAAATACTTACGTACAAACACTCATGATTTTGTCGCACCTTACCTGTCATGGGATGACGTCATGATTCATAATCATAAGCAATGACGTCATACATGGGCATGGCAATTTTTAGGTGACCATTAGCTATATTAGCTAATGTTCTTTATGAATTAAAGAAAATTGTACTCGTAATGAGAAGCCATACTTTTTCATGTCTTACAACATAATGTCACTCTTTTTAGCCCCGAAGGGGTAGGCAGAGTTATACAATGTAACACCTACTTTTCACTATTTATGTTATGAGACCCATGACCCATGGGGGCGAGCCAATTTCCATATACCGACGCCTAGCTTTTTAGGGATAAAAAACTAGGGAGTGTGGGATTCTTACTTCACTAAAACCAACCCGGTGGTCATCGTCACCGGCACCGGAGGCACCGAGTCCTCTATAATAGACCTGCTCCGGAACCCCATGGTGTAACGCCTGTAACGGCACATCACAAGGGAGATGTGCAATGTGCATCTCCCTTAAGCCTCGCTTTGCACGGTGGCACGTGACCACTGTGCCACGTCTTCCTTCAGGTCACTACCTAGTACCTACCTACTTCTATTCTCCCTTCACATTAAACGTGTTTTACAAAAGATTTCTTATTTTCTTACTTTTTTTCTGTTTACAAGGTTAAGGTTACGTTTTTGTGTATTTTAGCAATTATTTGTTAAAAACGTTAGTATTTTTATGCAAATGTGTTTATTTGCTATCGATATAGAGTCAGGCGTAGTTTGACAGTAGCAAACTTGACGTAACTGCATCCCTAAGCGCAAATAAAATGCCCACCAAAGCTATGCAGGGTATAAATAAAACTATCATTACTAACTGTTATATCTACTGCATATTGTCATGTATTCATCGGTTGTAGGTTCTGTCTACACTACAAGTTTACATAAAGACAATTTTTATATCTCCTCTGGTGGAACAGGATTCCATGGGTGGCAGCGAAGCTCACTACTTAGTGTTCCGTCTGCGGCCCTATCAAATTAAATAAATAAAACTTTGTAAAAACCTAAGAACTGTTTAATCAGTAGAGTACCTTTATAGATATGACGCAGTTTCATTAGTCTCGCAGTAAAAACTGTTCGTACATGTATTGTACATTGACCTCTGTGTAAAAAGACCATACCGGTCAAGCGCAGGTTGTAATTACCAACTCAGTGTGCTAATAACAAAATTGTCAATTAATAAAAATGTGGATTCATATTATTTAATCGCATGCTAATAAACATCTTTTACAAGTAGGTACCTAGATATCGGCGTCAAAGTATTATCTTGTAGTAAAGTACAAAATAAGATAATATTACCGACTCGTGAGCATGAGCCGTACCTCCTAACGAAGCGGTGACGTCACGTAACGGTACTTATCTAAACATTAGTTCACAGCTAGTATGGAAAAAGTATTTTCTCCTTAGTTTAGTTTGTTTATGAATGTTGATTTAAAATTATAATAAATATTATAGGGCATAGAGTCTATATTTGTTTAAAAAACAATGTGACCAATTTAGGTATTTACCTCATTAGAGTTAATTTTAATTGTAAATAGGGAAATTAGCTTACAAATACGGGTGTAATAAACTGTAAAATAGACGTAAATACGATTTATGTTACATTTCACATTTTTACTTATTTTGAAACTGTTTGTTGCATTATTTTTATGTTAGTTTAATGTAAATGATCTGTGAAATAAATGGTGCATTTAATTTATGATTTGGTTTCTTTTGACCTGACCTGAGTAATGTCCCTTTACTTTAATTCTCTTGTTTATGTAAGCAAGGTCTTATAAAACTTACTTTAGGTTAGGTATGGTTACACCTGCCTATTTTGTAGAACATCTGTATAATTTACTCCATCACCTTCTATTGATTCTTCATTGCAAACCACTGCCTCTTTTAAGTAGTGAGGTCACCTGTAATACCTAATAGAAATATCTAGGCTAGAATCTAGATGTATCTCTGATGTAGTGTGCATACATGTGTACCTATAGTCAATATAGAATTTGATGCCAGTTGAGCAATGCATGCCGTGACGCGACTGCCAAGAGCATACAGTAACCTTCATTATTGGTCTCAACTAGACAAGCTATGCCCATTGCACACCTTTGTGAACAGATAGTTGAATTGCACAGATTAGGTTTCTAAAATGCAGTAAAGTTTAATATTGTTTGTTATGTACACACTTGTTTACCTGCATAAGTTTTTTATATGCAGTGATTCACAACAGCATGTACTGTGTGCCAACAAGTTAAAATAAAATGACTTGCAAAATGCATGTGTGGGTGGCAATGTGAAGGAAACAAGTATTTGGAGAACACCTTTTATTTATCTCAATAAAACAGAATATTATAATTTCTCACTAGCTTATGTTAAAAAAGGAAATGTTAAATCAAATTAAAGATTAGTAGGTAAAAATGCAAAACTTTTGTAATAGTTAGGTGCCAATTGACACAAAATGTAACAGCATAGTCTTCAACATCGGGGTTGCAGCAATTCCCCATTTTTCTAGACTATATTTTTACTTTTTTTTAACATTTTCTGTAATTATTACACTTACAACATTGTGGTACAAATATTGCAATTTTGAATTCATTCAAAAATAGTTTCATTTACAAATATTTCAAACTGAAAATTTATGGTTACTTTGATATACATTATTGTTTTTAATGCTACAACAAATTTACAGATGGCTCTATGAGAGTTTCTTTGCTTTCTGGTAAAGAGTATCAACAACTTTACTCATGTGGTGAATGGTCTCTAGGACGGTCTCATAGGTTTTCTCAAGAGGCGACTCATCAAACACAATTAAAACACCCTCACCTTGGTCAAGGATACCATTGAGTTTCTTATCCAGAATCATCTGGGAGAGTTTCTTCTCAACTTGCACTACAGGCAGACGAATACAGCGAGCTACATGGTCCACTTGAACTCGCATGTAAGGTTCAACTATACGACATAAGTTTTGCTCCAACATAGTGTCATACAAAGCTCCAAGGTGAGCTCTTACCACTGCATCCTCTTCCAACTCACGTTTATAAGTTTTCAGTGCTGCTTGAAAGTCAGCTAGGGATCTCTTATGAGATGCTGTGGCAACGGCCCGCATTGCTTCCAGCTCTTTTCCTGCATACTTGAGTGCTGCCTTACTACTACAAACTGTACCTACTTCTTCAGCATTGTTCAACATGATCTTGGACAGTAACATGTATTTCAAGGCAGTGAGGGCTTTAGGGCTGTCGGCGCCATCATAACCTTCAAATGCTTCATAGAAGTATGAGTAAGCAGTTTTAAAGTCACGTTCATCAGCAGCATGGAGTATGCCAGATTGTAGATCAAGGGCAGCCTGCATTTTAGGTGGACAATAAATAGCATTAGCAGTAGTTCTTGCAGATGTCAATGAGGCGCGGGCTTTAGGTAGATTGCTTAGGGCATGATAAGTTTTACTTTCTAAAAGAAGAACTTCCACTAGTAGGTTTTTGTCGTCTAACTTTTTGAGTTCTCTGAGCAGAGCTGTGGCGAGTTCCAGTGCCTCTGTGTACATACCAGTGTCGAAGTAGAGCGCAATCAGTCTCGCTTCGAGAGACTGTCGCAAGAACGTACGACGCTCCTCCTTGGCCCATTCTATACACTCTTTACACAATTGAACCTCGATACCGATGCCCGCTTCCAAATCCAAGAAGAAATCGACCAGAGAACGCACCAGTTTTGCTGCTTTCGCTTTACTTATCAGGCTGAGGAAGGGTCTAGTAGCTTTGATCAGTTCTGCTAGTTCTTTAGCCTTCCCTTCTTTCTTGTATTTCTCGCCGAGATTAAGGATCCCTTGTTCCTTAGCCCTTATGTTTTCTTCGTCATCTTCGGGAACCTCGCCAGTGCTAACCATTTTGTCGGTCATGCGGACGTCCTCGTCTCTGTTCGTCGACGACGACACTCGCGATCTCTCGAATAACATCGCTCCGGCCATGTTGTATATATTTATATGCTTACACTAAAAAACGTAGATAAACAGTAAAATAGCACTACAACGGACACACTTTTTCTTTGTAATTTTGTATAATCGCTAAGTCATCGACGACCTCTTCAGAAACAAATCGTAGACGCGTACAGAGTTGCCAGTTAAAAGTTAAATAATAATTATATTGGTAGAAAGTGGTAGGAACCAGCTTACACAAAAATATCTCAGTTTAAAATGTACCTCCTTGAACACAAGAATCATTTATGTCATACAGAAAACAAAAATCAAGTAAGTCATGTCAAATTAAATTATGTCAAATAATGCTCATATCCCTGACCTGACTGATTTATAATTTTATTTTGTCTAAGTAACGCACCGTAAAAATGCTGGAACCAAGTAAAGATTTAGAATTCTATTCGGATATATCAAAACAAGTTAAGGAATTTTATGAATCTGTGGTGATATTTTTGACTAATAAAGATTACTCCGATTTAATATTTAACGCATTATGCTCAATACGTACAGCATTGCGTGAAGACGATAAAAAACGTCTCATTGATACTATTGTAGACATTCATTTACAATGGTTACATGCTGTAAATGAAATTGAAAATTTTAAAAATGGTTTGTCTCAGAGTATTCCAAGGGAGGAAGTATTTCAATCCATTACTTTCACTATAGATGCGATAGGCCATCGTTTGAAGTACTTCCAAAGATATATGGAAAAGTATCGAGGAGAACTATCAAACGAATATCAAGTACACGTACTTGCTGATTTGGAAATTGTGGAAGAAATGAATAAAGAAGTGACGGTAGCACTTTTAGAAAAATTAAAAAAATTTAAAAGCTACGATTGTTTTGAAGAATATAAAGTACATATACATGAGGCAATTGATGATTTGCTAAACTGGCTCGATAAAAATTACGATGGTTTGGTCATAAAATTAAGTAAATATATTAACGTCCATCTACCAAATTTACAGGGTGATTTAACTAAAACTTTGCAACAAATTGTCGATGAATTTAATACTGATCCAACCAATCCAGTTGTTAAAGAGGTAATAGAAGAGTTAAGAAAGAAAGGCAGAGAAATTGGTTTCATGATAAGAGGCACAGTTGGACACTCTCTTGAGCTTAGTAAAGTATATGAGAAGATTATTAATTTGGAAGGCCGTATTGAGCGACTGGAAAATGAACCAACTAGTGCAGCAGTCATGGCTTTAAAACGCAAAAAAGAATTTTTGGAAAAAAGAGTAGCTTCCCTTGAAAAAATGAAAACTACTTTGAAAAGTGTTCAAAATTTAACTGAAATTAAACTGCACGGTGACTTTGGAGAAGAGGATGAAATATGTTCATGCGAAGATTTTTATCAATTGAAAATATTTAATCACTTTCTTCCAATGGAGACACGAGAACGTCTAGTTACAGAATTATGTTATTTATGGGATTTGGCAGTTTTTGGAGAAAGAAGTAATCATTCTATAATTTCTATACTTAGCGCCACTGAAGTGAAGGAAGAATTCACTGATGAAAAAGGCACTTTCTATGTAGACGAACACAGCAGAAGAATATACAAATCTCCTATTGATGGAACACTTTTACAACCTAATGAACGAGGCGAGCTAGTGCCTCTTTCTGACGATGAAAATCACATTTATTACTACGATGAATGTGGCCGTTATTTTGTTGAACCAAAAACGAGAGAAAGAATCTATAAAGCCCATGCTACTGCTAGTGAGTATATGATGGATTCCACAGGACTTTTAATTAAAATAAAAGAAGAGAGAGATGGAATTGTATTTCATTATGATAACTGGGGTCGTTATTACGTAAATGAGGAAGGTAAACATATTTATCGTGATGAAGATCATTTAAGCGAATATGAAAATGATGGTTTGGGGAACTTAGTTCGTATTCGAAGCCAAGCAGATATTTTTCAATCGTGTCCAGGTGATGCTCAAGTATCTGAAGATTTTAAATATTTAAAACAAACAGTGGGGCCTGCATTACGATTTTGTATTGCCGAAGTTATAATACACCAACCAGCAGATCCTATTAAATATTTATCTTCATCTCTCATTAAGTTTAGAGAAAACATAGAGCTCAAAGAAAAACGCATTACGGAAAAACAAGAACTGGAAGCCGAAAGAGAATTTATTGCTGCCGAGGAACGAGCTAAAGCTGAACGTGAAGCCATGGCACTATTAGCTACAAGGGGAGGTAGTGAAGCTAGCTATGACACTAACCTGATAATGTATTCTACTATACGACCAGATGATCAAGTTTTAGTGAAAGCAAGCGATATTGAAAATAACTAATGAGATTGATAAAAGTAATAGGTATGTTTATGTGACTACATAATTTCTCCCATATTTTATAAAGTTATAGTTATTTTTTATTTAGCCACAAAGAAGTGAATTTATGTTAATATTTTCAATAAATTTTATTCGAAGGGTTGTACCTTAATTTTTGTAAGAAAAGTAAATGAGAAAGAAACTACCTTTTTTTCAACGTACTTGAAAACTACTGATCAATGTTAGAATTTTCAAAACTGGTAATTTTGTAATCTATTTTGACGTTTTGACAGCTCGCCAGGCCCCAGTCGGCCATTTGTGAACGACGAATTACATTTACAAAATCCCCACTGGGTTCATTCCACTGATTAAAATACATTGTGGTGGTTGCCCATGTTCTGCAACTTGTTTTAGTTGAACTCGTTTCTATTCTATGTATTTGGCTTCAGAAGAATATTTAACGATGTTCCATAATAGTAGGAGTATTGGGTTATTATGACGATATGAACTCGGAGTAAGTAAAAACAATTTCTACTACAGTGCCTACCTACTTCCTACAATGATTAATCTTTTAGGGCAAGGCTCTTCAATATTTTATGTAAATTAGTATGTATTGGTGTAAAGTGACGTATAGTGCATTCAGTGTTGTCATCACGTGCAAGAACGCAGACGGGGAGTTGTGAAGGTTTGAATCGTCGTTACTAGAATACAGGATTGGTTGCTATCACGGCGTTCCTAATATATTCGTAAGCGTCTGATGGCATTTTGTGCCAGTGTCTGTTAAGTGTAGTGTCGCCATGGGACCGAAACCTCCACCACCGCCGGGTCCTCCTCCGCCGCCTGGGCCGCCACCTCCGCCTGTGTTTGGAGGTGGCTCGAAGGGTGGTGGTGCTGATGACAGAAATGCCTTGTTGAGTTCGATACGACAGGGAACAAAGTTGAAAAAGACTCAAACAGTGGACAAAAGTGGCCCTTATATACCAGGGAAAGTGTCAAATGTGTCTAGTGGAGGATCAGCAAGTGGGGGCAGTGCGCGGAGTGCTGCTCCACTGCAGAACGGTGGCGGTGGCGCCCCGCCTGGCTTGGGCGGGCTGTTCGCTGGAGGGATGCCCAAACTGAGACCTACTGGAAAACTGGCAGGTAAGGCCATTCTATGATAACATGATTTCATTGTTATTAGCAGATAGCTTAGCTCTTATCTTGAGTACTATCTACAGGTACAACTGTATTCCACAAATACATGCATAGCTGTGATAATATTGGTACCTATAGTCAGAATTTTAATTAGATTCCAGATTTGACAATAGCTACTGTCATTTTGTGAAATAATGATACCACATATAAAAGTGTAGTGATGCACACAAAAATCGATAAACAATCAGTGTGTGTGTTTTATAATTAATGTTACAGAAAGTGACAGGACAGCGATAGCGATGGCGGCGACAATTTATAAAATAACTTATTACCATAATACATCTATCTGTTTTATTTGTCATGTTCCTTCATGATTACATTTTTTTATTTATTTCACACACAATTATAAAAGAAAAGTCTCAGATCGTTAATTAATCGTCAAAACTAAATTATCGGTTCAGAAATATTCAATTTCCTGATATACTTAGTTTACGAGACTAAAATTATAAACGAGAAGAATCGATCCAGAAATATTGCATTTCCATATCGATTAATTTCGCAACGTCACTATTTAGTACTTGTCATAACGTTGCAACACTGAAATTGTCAAATCTGGAATCGAATTAAAATTCCGAGTATACATATTGTTGCTTGTTTGTAAAATATTTTTATTGTATAATTATTGACTGATAAGATTTTCGACTAGTTTATTAGTCATTTTCATATTGGAACTAATAGGTAGGTACTTTGTTTTCCTAAATTCTTTCATTCTCAAACATTGAGCATTCAAGTTTGAATGAATTCTAGAATAGTTTTTGAAAGAAAAGATATGAAAGTGTTTAGAAATGTTTAGGTGATTTAGGTTTCAATAATAAACACATTAAAATTATTATAATGTTACATTACATGTTCTGTATAAACATTGCAATGCCTTACTATATGAAATATTAAATAGCTTTTACTTATATTTATGTTTAATAGCCGTAATTATTTATTACTATATTATAAGTACATATAAAAATAATTAAATCTGTCATTACTATATACATACTAGTTAAGTTCAAATGCAATATAATAATTTTACCCATAAGGTAAATCGAAAATAGATTAATAATTTAGATCAGTTTATGTGATATTTTAACCACTTTATTGCCCTTGATCAGATTATACTCCATAATGCAATATTTATTGGAATCCAGACCCTGGCTTACTCACGGAGAACCTAACGGGCTACCGGAGTCCCGGTTCGAAATGCAGGAGAAGAAACATGGTGGTTTTTAGTCAATAAGAGCCTGAAACTCCCTCCTGTCTCACCCAGGTGGGAGCAGTCATTCGATGATTTTCCTTCCTTAAAAAAAAGACCCAGGCTTAAGAAAGTGACCAGTTATATTACAGGTCCCATGTAATAGACAAAGAGACCACACTGTAATTTTTTTAAATGCCTAATTAATGCCAGACCCAAGTTTTAAGAGAAAAAAAATCTGTTAAAACTTGGGTCTATTACAGTGAGTATTAAATTGCATTATGTTCACCTTTTATAACTTCTTTGGGATAAAATTAGTAACTTTATATTCTTATTAACATAATATAACATCAAGTCTTTTATCCCTGAATGCGTTGGCTAAGGTGCATGTTACGGTACTTAATGCACATGTAACACCCACTTTTCACTTATGTTATGAGTCCCATGTAATTCGGGAAGACCCTATTGCCATATACCAGGCACAATTCCAGATTCCATGCTACTAATGAGAATTAAAAAAACCCCAGTAGTACTTTGCCCCCCCTCCCCCCCGGTAATCGAACCCGAGACCCTTGCCAGCAGTCGCACTTGCATCTACTCGGCCAACAAGGCAGTTTAAAATCTATATTGTATATTAATAAACAGGTATGTCATGATTTTAGGGAAATCAGAACAATAAATAATTCTATTACTGTAATTAAGATACACATAAATAGAGCATGATTGGTTGATGAGATAATATTTAAAATCAACTAAATCTAACTAATCAACATAAATACACTGCTGCACTTTCAAGGAAAAATGGCATTTTTTTACAATTTGAAACATATTTCTTTTTTATTTAATGGGCCAATGTTTGATCATTATGATGCGGTCTACGATGGAGCATGTCGTCCCATATGCAACCTATAAACTATTTGTAGGTATTTTAAGGTGCAATAACTTGATGAATAAATACATACTTGGCTTCTATGCCTATGACTTTCATCGCTGAATGCAATGCAAAAATAATTATTCAAATTGGACCAGTAGTTTCGTAGATTAACATGTTCAAATATCCTAATAGACTCTAGCTTTATTAGTAGTTAGTTACGCGCGGTTTTACCTGCTCTGCTCGGCTCCTATTGATCATAGCATGATGTTTTATAACCTATATTAAACCTGCCTCGATGAATGCACTATTGAACAAAAAAGTAAATATTCTAATTGGACCACTACATTCTTTATGATTAACACATTTAAACAACCAGGTAACTTTTCTGCTTTACTATTATTTTAATAATTAGTATAGATACAACAGAATGCATATAAATACTAGTTTTATTTAATATGCTATGTTTATATACTTAACAATAAGGATCTCTAAAGATAAGAATTAAAGCTATCTTCTATCTTTGTTTAAACAATGCCATGTTTAATGCTATATTGATAGTCTGAAAGCATAACATGTATACAAACTTTTACATTTTATTGTTTTAGTAAGTAGTACTTCTTTGACTATACATATTTGATATACATCGTTATACCAATTATATGTATTGAGAAGATAGTCCAACTTACTTTCCTGAAAATAAAGAAAGAAAAAATTTATTCAAATATAATTGGTTCTTCCACATACCACGACGGTGGCAGAAAAGCACATGACCCACCTGTTGGTAAGCGGTTACCGTGGCCTATGTATACCTGCAACACTGGGCATTAGTTTATTATAGCTTTTTAGTTTTTATCATACTACGTTATCCAGAGTTAAATGTACAGTTGCAAAATTATAATTACCTCCGCCATTCCTAGTTTGTGCAACACATTTTATAATTAATTTATAAATATCTAAAGATTATAACTAGTTGTAAAGGAATGTGTTATGTACTTAACATTGATATGTTTCAAGGTAAATCCTTACTAGAGACAGCTGTTTGTCTGTTTGTACCCGTGTTGCATTCAGCCGTTACAACTCAACTGAAGTATTATTATTGATATCTATACATAAAGTCACGTTTGTAACTCAAGTACGAAACATAAATACGACGTTTGAATGGTCTTAATCATAAGACCATTCTACTAGGCTAGGTTTTATGAATGAAAATTATTACCAAAATATAATGAAAGACTATAAAATGCTGCAATTATTGTATTTGAATGTCAATGACTGTAAACAGGAAGTATGTATACTTTGTTCTTGATGTAGGTATAGGCTAGTTATTTATATTAAAGGAATATTCATTAGTCACTGCAATAAAACGACTTTTATAAACAGGCTTGAGGATTAACAATTATAAATAAAACCATATAAGTAAATGGTATAAATAAAATGTATTTGTTACAGGTTCCACACCAAATGGCCAAGTCAAAACCGACGCGCCGCGGTTCCCGCCACCCCAACCGCACCAACCTCCACAAAGGTCTTCCCCAGACAAAGTACGACCGCCATCATCGACGAGCAACGTCGGGGCACTTTCAGCGGCATTATCAGAAGCTTTAGCAGGAAGAGATAGAGATTCGAGAGAAGTTCATAGAGAGGTCCCAAGAGAGCCCCCTGCGAGACCCGCTGTTCGGAGACAGCCGAGCGATATAAGGACGAGAGGACCCCCGCCTCAACCGCCTATACAACAAAAACCGGCGATGCCATTGGTAAGTTTACATTGTAATATAATTGTTCTATAGTTATTAGACATTACAAAACTGGATAATGAATTGATCTTTGCAGCAAATGAAATATATTCGTCGTCCAAAGCCTTGCAACAGTCCCGAATTATCGTAAACTTATCAGTAATAAATAATTAACTTGGTAAATACTTGTTTTAAGTCTTAAGTCAGACTTGCTGATACAGTTTCAATGCTATTAAAGCGAAATTAATTAATATTGTTGTACCTATTATGTGTTCTACTATCTGCTTAAAGTCCGTAACAAATTCCGATGTGATAAAATTGATTACAAACGCCCGTGGAAACGATTGTTCTTGATAGTTATGAGGCTAAAATATTACCTACTGAATATATCAGGATTTTGTGTTAGGCTCCAAGTGAATATACTATTTTTTCTTTACACGATACGGTTTAAGGATCCCCAATTTACTGCGGAAATATTTAGATTCCTGTGACCCCGCGGTACACGTGCGAGAAGGCCGAAGGGGTTTTGTTAGTAGGGAGTATTTTTCGTCCCCTTCAGGATTATCTTCTCCACTACAAAAATTTAACACCCCTAATTTAAAACCCACTTCAGAATAATACAGACATTGACGCTGGAAATTGGAGTGTACTCGAAATGTTCCCCAGGTCACACACTTATCGGGTTCCGTGACTTTCTAAATAAACGATAGCGTCAAAAGTGTCAACAGGCATTATCCCTTTTTAAAATGGGTCTTTGTGTTGAATGATGCTTACCGCGATGCTGCGGTACGTTAAATTGAAATGTCTTTGTTTGTCATGGATTCTGCGAACATTAAACAAAAAGAATCAAACAGATTACAGAGCTGAAATTCCAAAGAAAGGAATTTTTGTCAACATGACTTGATGTCACATTTAATTTACTTAGCGATGTAATTTTTGGAAACCACAAATGTGAAGCACATTAAAGATAAAGCAAATTACGCATATGTTCTTGTATTTAGTATACCTTTATAAAATGATAACGCAAAATGGCTACCAATAAAACATATCGTTGCTGTATATCATCTTCTTTATTAGGTAGCATAAAAACAATAATTTGATAAAACCGCAGTATCTTTTTCAATTGTTATTCACATCACCAGACGTGTCGGCCCGCGGAGAAAGTTTAGAACTTCGTCGTTATAATATTTGCTCGTTGCTTACGTCATAAAATATACGTGATTTAATGTGCTTAGGAATTAGCCGCTGTTCGCCATGTCAAATGATGGAAAGACGTTTCTAGCAGTTCGTAATGAGATTTGAATTATTTTAATTAATTCAGTGGCAGACACGTAACCAATTTATTGATTTTTGAAGCCACTATAAGATTTCTAAGCAATAGCAGCAAACCGAAGGGTTAGTTAGAGGTCAACGTACGTTACACCTATTTTTCACTTTGATTACAGTGTAATAGGGCGTAATTTACAAAATCCAGATTCTTCTATGGATTAGTTATCTTAAAATCCAAATGATTCCAAAATGCCGATCGATCTTTGCCTGATTTGGGAATCAGATCAAACACCTGTCGCACCTCTCAACTTGTCTGGAAAAATTAATCACTATCTATAATTTCTATAGGATGAGGGTATATTCGCCCTCCATTCCAAGCAAATGAAGCTTCCAATAAACTAATTGTGTCACCCCATCTAACCTTTACTTTTACAATAGAGTCAAAAACAAAAGGAAGGCTCTGAAGGTGCTCTTTTATCTATGAAGAGTTCACGCACCCAGAAATGTCATTGTTTGAAATAAACTGGAAGTATATTTATAAACGGTAGTAGAAAGGGGTGATCTAATATCTCCATTTTCGAGATTTCGGGTTAGTTTTCACTATCGAATTTCCAATTCCTCTGGATCAACCTTTTTCGATGAAATTCTCATTTCTCCGTGGTTTGTGAGGAAAAGTGGCAGTCGCACCAAAAAAATGTTATTCACCAAAATCTTAGAGACTCAATGCCAAAAGGTCAGGAGCGAAAAAAAATAGACTAGCACTTGATAATGAAAACAAAGTATCTAAGAATATTATACTCAGCCCACACAAGTGTTGTCAATGTAAAAATACCCTAAGCGGGGATGACGGCCACGTGTCGCAATAAAAAAAATAAAATACCGCCATGTGGGAGGATTTCGAACGGATTTGGTAACTTGTTTATTTTGTGCCAGTGCGTTCGGTGCGCCACCGCAAACTCTATACTTAAAACCTTTTTTTAAGTTGCACGTAAGCACTGATTGATTTTGGTTGCATCACTTGCATAAAATGAAAGTTGGAAAAATTTTTAGGGCTTTATTATATAATCGTTTTCTGAATTATTTTGCTCTTGGATGAAATTACCAAGAAAAACGTACTTTTTCATAAATGGAAAAGCTTTAGTTTTATCAAGAAAATGGCTTTGTTTTCTTTGTGAGAGAAAATCTGTCAAGATTAGATTTTTATCGTGTTAGAACGCTTTTTTATGTTCTTGTTGTTCTGTCACGGATTGTAAGGGTCAAAGCGCTCGTAACCTTGATAACAGATCACGGTTTTCAATTTCGTACCCGACAAATGCATGTTTATTGTTGTAATACAGAACAAGCTCGGAAAACATGCCATTATTTTGTCAGGTTTTATGGTTTAGATATTCTGATGGGCCTTTTACGTCTATTATGACATGAATTACGACATTCGTTGAGATATAGTATTACGATATAAATTCCACAAAAAACACCGATGTTTTTAATACAGTAGCATCTAATTTTCTTTTTAAATATACACAGACATGAATGAAAAATGACAGTGAAACTTCCATCGATAAAGATGTTTATTCAAACGGAGATATTTGCTTGAAAGTAAAAGTTGTATTAATCATAGCTTTTATCGCCTCTTGTGTAGCCTTTGACATGCGGATTATTCATCATGCTAATAATATATCAACAGTGACTAACTATTATTACGTGTGCACTTAGTAATCTCATCACCATTAAAATTGAGCTGTTAATTGTCTATTCTTTTCTTTTTCTTTGTTCATGGGCCCCTTCTTTCTAACCAACTGGATACCACAACGTTGCCTAAAATTGGTTACTTATATTTTTTGTCATCCGCAATTTACGACCTGATGAAATACTCGTATTCCAATGTTTTATTTTCATTCCTTCGTTGCATACATGCTGAGTTGTCTCTTTACTTAAATATCAAACCGACCTCCACTGCAGAAAATAAATAGAACAGTACCCCCAGTTGGATGTTTATCCCTTTCATTTCATCTATTTTCAAATTGTCCTTTTGTTATTTACGACTTTAATACTGACAGTATTTCGGATTTTGGTCTTCGATAAAAAGATTATTGGATTGGACTTTTTGTTACTTATCGTACTGTAATAAGGTCATCAATTGCATACATACATGTATCTTAAAATTTTGTATGGATTCGTAATTTATAGCATTTTGACTAAAGGATCAATAGACAAACAAAATCTTATACAGAATTTGCTTTGGTTGCTTTCTCTTCGACAAAACTAATCCTTCTTAACTGAAGGTTTACGTGTATAGTCCTTCCAGTATTCCACAAAATCCTTCGTTAATCCGACACGCTTAAGATACAGGTATTTAATAGCTGTCCTTTTGCGGATAACTACTTTCTGGTAATGTCAAGGACATATCGAATGTTCGTTATTGAGTGATCTTATAGCTATATCGATTGTCAATAGTTGTCATGCCCTATACATGTTTCGGGATCGTTCTAGATTATTTAAGTTAATATTTTCTTTGATAGTTTCTTTCTTATCATCATATTTTTGTTAATGTTTATTATGAATAACTGCAGTATCTACTGTGATATCGATGTCCGAGTCAGAATTGACTAGTATTAGTGTTATGTGATTTTCAGTTTTCATTTTCGTAATAGTTCGTACCTTTTCGGAACACATAGGCGTGTTGATGTTCTGTTACGTAGTTCAGAACATCGTCGCTACCATGAAGCGTCCATTAAGGGCGAATCTGGCAGCTTCTAACTACTAAGTTTTAATTGAAGTACCAGCTTTGTGCCAAATGACGTCACGTTTCGAGTAGTTTTGATACTGGCATCGTGTTTGGGTGATATTCTGTGTTACGTATTTTAAAAGGTCTAAATTGACAATCTTATTTTGCTTCCTAGCTTAGAGGCTGTGATAGGACAAGTAGACAACGTTGCGTTAGCAATTGACAATTAGGCTAGTGTTGATCTGAACTGAATTGTATGGATCTTTTTTCTGCCAATTTCCAAATTAATATTGTTCTTAAACTGTTACAATATCAATGTGTTTAACATTGTCAATCATCCTAGCTTGATGAGATTGTACCTACATTACATAAACCATGTAAACAGACAATGGTAGGGCTTCAGTTTAACCTTTGAATGATAAAATTTATTGTTGTAATGTTGACGAAGGTCACAGGCCATTTAATTACGAAGCCGCTAATTAACGACAATAGTAATCATGTTAATTATTTTGATAGCGACCCCGAACTAGATTGCGCCACTAGAAATCCGTGCACGTGATTCAATTATTATTTCTTTATTGATAATAGCTGTGTATCACGCTTTTTAATTTTAAAGAGGATGGGTTAATTTATCTAATGAAGATAAATACTTACTTCTCTTGAGCTTCCTACTGTTAGACGATGAAAATCAACTAAATTAATGTCACCACTTTTTTTTCTCTTCTATGGCAATTGAGTCTACACTATTTAATCTGTGTTATCGGCAGCACTAGCTGTCATGTTGACGCTGTCATCTGCCAAATGTGACGGTTTAGTAAAAGTTTCCCGCGCATAGTTGTAACGTTCATTCGAGTTCGAAGTTTGAACGAGCATTACGCTTTTTCATAATCTAAGAATCTGTTTTAGAATAAACTGTCCAGTATTTATGTATTGAGTTTTACTTTAAACTACCTATCTTATTTAATTAGGGAATGTAGTCTAAATGGGTCATTCATTTATTCAATGAACAATTATTTGTAAATAATTA